TCATCCTAGTACAACTATCATCTAAACTTACTTAATTTTGGAGTTATGATGAATTGGTATGAATCGAATGGGAACGCCGAAACTCGTTAATGAGGTGGGATCCCATCTCCCTTGAAACTAAGAGATGAGAGAGGAGGCTAAAAGCTATGGAGTGAAAGTGTGGAATCATTGTCGGTTCTCATTTTAATTTTAAATAAAAATGAGGAATACCCACCGACATTTTCTTTTCAACTATTTCTTTCAGGTGACTATAATGTAATGATGATCGCTATAAACCATCCTCAATCTTTCTTTGGCTATTTTTCTCAACTCTTTCTCTCCCACTTGACTCTTTTTCTTCAGTGTTCAAGAATTTTATGTGTGAAAAATGAAAACCCTATTTCCTAATCAATGGAAGAGACTCAAAATCATATAGTAAGACAGAACTCATATTGAGAGTATGCATCACAAATTCAATCTCAACTTAGTTTTCAGTTAAAAAATTTGCCCGACTCAACCATAAATCCAATATTGCTTAAACTTTCTTATTATATTAATTCAATGGTACTTATGGGCCAAGTTTTGTATAGAGGATTAGATTGAACTAGTTGAATGCCTAGATTTCGTGCGCAATCAAGGAATATAGGATGTTGTCTTTTAACTTGGAGGATTAAGATGGACTACTCATAAGAGGTTGATGTCTATAATTTATCCCTACCAATCCCACCATTTTCAAGGAGGAGGATAAGTTTTAGACATCAATCTCACATGAATTGTCCACCTTAATCCTTCAAGTTAGAAGACAACATCCATATTAATTCCTCCTTGATTGCACATGAAATCTAGTCATTTAGTCAGTCTAGACTAGTACAGTCTAATCCCCCGTATCAAACGTGGCCATATAACTCTAGCGAAAGAATGCTTAACTCATACACCGACTCAACAACAGAATTTTACTCTCGCCTTCCCTTTCACATTTCGGTTGCTTTTTGGCAATTTAGCAAGGAGTACATCAAATTTAACTTGGAGTATGTCTAGTCCACGTTCTATCTGCTATAGTGCAATCCAATAATTAACCGAAGACATTGCCAACTCATAATATGCCTTTGAGGCCTTCATAGCCATGACATATAGTACACTCTAAAAATAATAGCATGTACTAATTAATGTACCTATATATATATGCCATCCAAAAGTCATTTCCCCTGTTCACCATGTTCTCTGACGCCCTACCATAGACAAGACATAATTTCTTTTTAGATACATTAGGTTAGTGAAGAAGATTAGGTTTTGTAATTTGCATGTGAGATGATTGCGGGGAAGAGAGGAGCTGAGAAAGATTGAAAATGAAGTGAGCAAAGGATACTTTGTACTCCCCGACAATATCAACTCAGATTATTTTCCAAATATATTTTGGAGCCCAACATGCCTTCCCCATCTCACCCTACCAAATGTCCTCATTGTCTAGCTAGTTCATCCCACATTCGAAGAATATGCGTGAAGCACCAGTTGTATACATTAAAATAATTTTAAAAAAAAATGGAATTTAAATTAAGTTATAATTAGAAGATAACTTTAGCAATAAACATAAATAAATTAATGCAAATTATGGGGGGAGAGGAAGGAGAGAAAGGGGGGAGATGAAACGCACAGCTGTGGAGATGATGGATCATACCTTAATAATCACCAACAACCTATGTCCATGTTTAAGGTTTAAATTAATTTAGAATTTGAATTTTGGCATTGAGTAGAATGTAAGGGGAGATAATCGAATGTAAGATCTATAGTAAAATCTCGCGTGCATTGATGAATGCTCTTTAAACTTCTTAATTCAGCACACATATATTTACGGAGAATGAACCTATAAACACTATTTCTCAAAAGCCACAGTGAGGCCATGGTGAGTACCCTAAGTATTGTGATCAACGAAAACAAGGAATTTGAACTTGTAACATTTTTCCGAGATTTAGGAGAAGTGAGTACCATTAGATCAAGTTTTGTTGGCTCAAGTACTATCCTTTGGGAGATTTAGATTAGCAGGTCTATGTCTTGCTCTACAAAGGACAAAATCTTGTGACGTGATTTTAATTGATCATGTATGTCTTGTTTCAGATTATACGACCTTTTTGAACCGATCAGAAGCCTCCTTCCAAGAAATTTCGAGGACTATAGCTACATAGGAGACTGCTGGGACAAGAATGCAGAAGCGACATGTATCTAACTGTAAACTGACCCACTCGATGACTTCTGTCTTCTACTCTCTTCATTTTCCTAGTTTCTTTATTTTATTTTTGTGTACAAATATAATATATTGCAATTGGATGTCGTTTACTGGGCATTAGTGCATTAGTGGATGCAGTGTTTGAGTTGAAACTTGTCTACTTTTGAAAACTTTCCTAGTCTTTATTAGGGTTGGTAATTCTTCTGAGTTTAAGTTGGATTGACCCATGTAATTTACTTACATGTTCTAAGTTTTTATCGTTCCCAATGGAAAGAGGTGACGAACAAGAAGAGGACCATAATTAGAGCAGATATTTTTTCATTTTTCTGAGGAGGAAATTTTGATATGGGATTTGAGGCAACGAATGGAAGATATTCTTTTGCAGTTGAAGAAGCAGTTTATGGTAGAGGGTGAGTGTCAGAAGAGAGACTTTGTGTTGTGTGGCTGCGAGAGAAACAAACAAAAGTGCATTAATAAGAAGGAGAGGACCAGCTATTCATAGGCAGCCTTATTTGCTTTCCTTTCCCTGCTGGTCCTACTCTTCTTTGTAAAAATTAAAATTGTTCAATGGTTTGGTTATGATGAGTTGGCCATTTCTTACCAAATTGTCAGTTTCGCGTGTGGTGTGTGTGTGTGGAGAGAGAGAGAGAGAGAGAGAGAGAGAGAGAGAGAGAGAGATGCACGCAAATGAAAATCTGAGTAGGTTGTCTTTTGTCCTTTTGGTGTCTCAAACCAGAAAAGTATATTAGCTTAAGGACTCAGCAAAAGCATGGAAGATGTAAGGCTATAGAGTAATCACTACAAGAATATAATTGAAATAGACAATACTCAATAGATGATGAATGAACTAAATACTGTTATTTTATTTTGTTAGAAGACAGTTTGCTATAAAATTGTCGTCTAATAAGGTGTAAAATATTTGAAAAACGACAGTTTTTAAATCGGCGGATGATACGTTTTTTTTATTCTAATGAATATTTCTATAACGGTATCACTTTAAAATTTCAAGAGGTGTTAAGTTAAGAAAATGTACTACCATAATAAAGCTAGATGCCATCACAAAAACACAAGTAGAGTTCATAGATTTTCTTATGATCATAGGATCATACTCAATTTGTCATTTGCCATCACAAAGTAAATCCATCTACATTCTGTTCATTCTTGGATTTTCCGCAATATGTACTTTTAACAGTAGTTAATGCTTTTAGGTGCATTTACAGTAGAGTACTTCTACTAGTACTAAATTTATTCACCAAATTACGTGTCAGTACACAGTGGCGGACCTATTAAGGCGCAAAGAGGTGCAGCTGCACCTTCCCTCGCCGGAAAAAACCATTGTAGATGCTTCAAATTGCCCTTTTGCAAATATTACTCCATTTACTTAAGTTTACAATGTAAATAAGGAAGTACCCCCATTTGGTTAAATTATATTTGTAAGAGATGGTCTAGTCTGAAATTAGAATGACATTTTTCATTAGGTAATTGATGGAATTACAGCTATATCACATATATATACTCTTGATGTAAAAGTTAAGTTAAAATCATGTTGGTCATCATAATTAATGTTATAGATGCTGTAATAATATTCCACCATCTCAAATAACTATTGCCTTCTGGAAGGCCACTCAGGTAACAAAATTTTGTGCTTCTAGGTGTCTTCCATTCCCAATCCATTTTTGGCTGCCAAAATAGCACTTCCCCACTTACATTTCTATTGTTACAAACTTAAAAGAGAAAGTTAATTACAGCAATGCAACAGAAGGAAAAGAAAAAAAAAAGGAAAAAAAAAAAAAAAAAAAAAAAAAAAAAAAAACAAAAACGGCATTCGGCTCAAAGTCAAATTTTATTGTAATGAGTGAAGTACGCGCATCTTTTTTCACCAAAAAAAAAAGACGAAGCTCGACTCTAAGTGGCACATTGAAATACAATTTTACTTGAGATGACAAAACTGAATGAATTTTGTTTTTTTTTTTTTTTTTTTTTTTTTAATTTTTTTAAATTTTTTAAAAATAAAACAAAAATTGGCCAATTCCAAACAAAAAAAAAGTTCAAATGGCTAGAGATTTATTTGATTAATTTTTCCGGTTGTAATTATTTTGAGTACCAACTTTCTTATCCGCAAGCGGTACATACAATAATGAAGAAACCCTGATCTATAATCCGTACCATATGCCAATGTACCCCACATTCTCTGACAAGCTACTTTTTTTCACATGCTTTTGGTTACACTTTTTTTTAGCTAACAGATGCTCCTGATTATGATTTGACCCCCAGATTTTGTTTCACGTAGCCCAAGCTACTAGTACTAGCTGCTGCTGCTTCAAGCCATGCACAGATCTCAATTTCATGTTCTTAAATTTGTATGAGAGAGAGAGAGAGAGAGAGAGAGAGATTTGGTACAAGGCAAACAAGCAATGAAATCTCTCATTAATTCCTTAAAAAACAGTACTAATATTTCTGTCACAGGGTACATTTGACAAGCCACCTCTGTGAGCAAAATGGATCTCAAACACTAATTTATACAAAATGTAACCAAACCCAACTTATGTTCATGGGTTTCAAGTTAGAGTCAAGAATCTAACATCTCAGAAGGGTTCAAAGAAAACCACCACTCCCAAATTTCCAACCCCAAAAAAGAATAAAAAAAACACCCAACAGATTGAAGTCAAGATTGATGGATAAGATAAATGAAGAAAAAAAGATGTTAAAAAAAGAGAAGCTCTCTGTGGTGCTTCATCTTGGGCCATCTTTTTCTCCATGAAAATCCCACAAATCTCTTGACCTTAAAAAACTTGAAATCTCATCTAAGCATTGAAGTTAGGGAGCGAAAAACGACTTCTTCACAAGGGATTGTGAGGCCCATGTCGTGATCGAAACCAAATTCCTCCTCGGCTTGGCGGAGGAGGCACTGGAACTGAGGATGTGTCAAGAAGGAGATGGGAACAATGTACCTTGTTCTGTTCTCTCCAACATAAACTGGGAAATGACCTTTTGGGACATCTAGGGGAAGGCCATCTTCATCATATCCATGTTTCTTCCCCAAGCTTGAGCACCTTTTCAGGATTTGCTTGAGCACTGCGGTTTGAGCCAGTTTGTTTGATTTTCTGATGCCCATCTTTTCTCCTTCTTTTCTCTTTCTTCTGTTTTTGTTGGGGTTGGTTTTGGGGTGAAGGAAAGATAAGAGAGAGTGGAGTGAGAGAGAGAGGTGTAGGTGGTGAAGTGAGTGAAGGGTAAGGGGGGTATTTATGAAGAGGGTTTAGAGAGAGAGGGGGATAGAGAGACTGGGGAGGGTCATGTGGTGTGTGGGGAGGAAAGGACATACCACGGGTGTTTTGGGGTATGTGTATGTGAGCAAGGACGTTGGTGGGAGCCAAGCCCATTGGGTTTACTCTTGTATGTTGGCCCTCCAAATGACAACATGGACCCTCCCTCTCCCTCTCTCTCTCCTCCTCTCTCTTTCTTCAGATAAAGGGATATCTAAATTTGAAAGTTTAGTTGAAAAGCTCTAATGACTTCTTGATTGAGCTTTGACCAAATCATTTATTAATTAATCACTTTCCACAAGGAGGTATTATTGTTATATTTAATGACTTTTGACAAAAAATAATAAATATCGGTAGTAGAAAAACCTTCACAATTCACATAAGTTCTCATCGAATACAAATTTTAGGATAAATCTCAAGCACATGTAATCACGAATATGTGATATGCACTAAGTAAATCCATGAAGGTCCAAACCTAACATTTACAATTCACCCCATATGAGTTACTGAAAGTTGAATATCCTAGAAACTTTGCAATTTGCAATTCCAAAAAATAATTGGATTTGGATTATAGTTTGATAGAAACTTAAGATTATTTGCCTTAATTAAGTAGTATTTAGTCATAATTCCACCTCTTTCTCTCTACCTAAAATCACGGACCGATAATAAGTACTATTCAGTACAGTCTTGTGGATGTTTGGCTTTTTCTTATTGTTGGGCAACCTGGTCTGGTGATTCCGTGTACTGCAGGACAGATAAAACAACAGTCTCCCTCTCTCTCTCTCTCTCTCTCTCTCTCTCTCTCTCTCTCTCTCTCTCGCACATAGCAAACTAAAATTGTTGCAGAAACCCATGTGTATGTTACTGCTACCTCTGCAGCTTTCCACCATACTTTTTTTATCTTCAGATTATGCCCACACACTTCCCTGAGGGAGATACCAAAAGATTAAACAAAAGCATGCCTCAAAACACTTTTCTCACTTTCATGATTCCTATATTTAACTTTAAAACTCAACCTAAATCAAGTGTAGGTGTAGGTGAACAATTTTTGATACGAATATGAGAAGACATACACGAATACGACCTTTTAACACAAATTCCCGTCCGTAACTAAGTAGATATACGTTCACAAATCGCATGTATTAAGTAAAATTATGTACACTTTTATCACACTCTTTGCTTGATAAGTACTTGTTGTTTTGTTTGAAAGGCACATAATCTTCCTGCGCATGATGATTAAAGTTGGAACACACCATGCAGAGCCACGGACCTAGAAAAGTTCGTACGGAAAATCCATAATTGCAATATGTGTACTTTAATAGTGAACTCTCTCAGCCGCTGGTTTAAGATAGGAAAACAGAAAAGCGTATTTAGTCAGCAAAGGAACATGGCCAATTCAGAAGTCTACCTCTCACAAATCACAAATCAACCTCTTCTCTACTAAAGAGGGTGAAGGCGGTGAAAACAGATTCTAATTGAACAGAAAGCGTCCTCCCTTTCTGTTCTGTTCAAGTTATTGTACATCTAATTGACCAACAAAAAAATAATAATAAAATTGACTGCATCTCCAACGGTGCAGCGATCATCAAGGGGCTGGCTGGTGGTGGGCCAGTCCACCGTGTTCCATGGGGTAGCCCTATACAGAAGCTCTCTCATGATGAGGGGACCGACATGTACGTTCAACAAGAATTGCTCGTTAATGACCCTTCTTTAAGGATAGGTCACTGATTTTTAAGTGTATGGAAATTTTGTAAGGGAGATACACTTGCGCTGGTTACATAAAGAGAGATATAGAGGTATATCACTGTCTCATTACGGGTGCATATACAACACGTTGCATGTAAGTCTTAGTCCAACTGAGGACCATCCGACCATGACAAGTCCTAAGTATGCATTAGTGAGAAGTGACATGAAAGATAGAGTAAGGTCAAAATTGATATTGAAAAGTATAAACTAATATTTATAAGCGATAGTCTAAATTATTGTAGATTAATCTAATAATTAAAAAGGAAGGAGATTCAAACTTAAGTGCAACGGGCGGATTTACTGCCCTAACCAAATTAAAAAACAATGCTCATCCTTGACTCCCTTCCGAACTCAACTCGACTAATACGACTCACCGAACGGACGATTCAATGGCTGTGGACCTATAATGCTCACACTGAAAGTGCAGTGTCTTAATAACATGGAGCTTTGTGGTCCTGATGAAACCACTACCACTAGAAAAAAGAAGATTTACAGGAAGACATAAATCTATTACAAACGTACACCACTAGTATATTTCAAGTCTGCCTACCTCCATTTCAGCAAAGTCACCCCTCCACGTTCTAAGACTCATAAAGTGGTCCGCAAAGCTAAGATTTTGTGCCTGATACGGCCTTGTCCTACATTTTTGTCTTTTCTTTTTGTGTTCTTTTGATCAACCTCTAATACTAGTACATATATCCTTACTTCCTTACCATCATTAACACAATCACAAACCAATAAAAATTCGGTTTTAAAGGGCACTCAAAAGATTAGGGTCCATTTGGTATCCTACTAAAAAAAGTAAACTAAAAAATTATGATTTTTTTTAAGAATATGAATTTTCAAATACTTATTTTAAGATTTAAAAACTTATTTAGTATTGGACTTCAAAACTATTTTAAAAATCTACAAACTTATTCCAATGAATTATTATTTTATGGGTTTTTAGGTCTAATGGTACTTGACTTTGATCCGATTCGTATTTTGGTCCCTCAATTTCCAAAATCGTTCCCGTGGTCCTTCAACTTCACTTTCGTTAAATGCATGGGCAAAATGGTATTTTTTGTATTATTTTTAATTTCCAATATATAAATATTCATTTCACCCTAAAAACAAAAAAAACCTTCTTCCTATCCTCGTCACCACTGGTGGACCCATGAATTTTTCGGCGGAGGTGCCATTTTGAAAGACTAAAAGCTTTAAACAAAAATTGACAACCAAATAACCTTATAATTTAAACAATACCAATGCCATTCATATGCCAAAAATGAAATTGGTGCGATTGTTGATAAAGAAGAAAAAAAAACTGTAGTATGTTTCATCTATTTTATTTTCCTTGATTAACTATGAATTACATTTGAACTTATTTGGAACCTTGATTGATACAATATTTTCTTCCTTGACACAAGACTTGATTGATGAATCAGTTTTTATAAAAGACTTGGAGTTCTCTCTATAGAAAAAAAAAGAAAAAAAGAAAAAAAAGAAGAAAATAAACAGATTGTGGTGCAGACCGAAAAAAAGATGAATTTGATGATCTTTTTTTTATATAAATTTGGATTGGTGGACGTAAAGAATCTCTCAAAAAAAGGGAGACTTTCTTTTTCTATTTTAAAGAAAAATCTCCTTATTGCTGAAGTAGTTTCCTCCTTTTCCGTCCATAGTACGGATCCTCTCTCTCTCTCTCTCTCTCTCTCTCTCTCTTGGTCCAAAACGACGTCTTTTTGGCCAGGAGTTAAAAAAAATTAAGCGCGCAACATAGCTACACAGAAAAGGAAGGAAGTTTATCAGGCCTTTTGTCGAACAGATGGAGTGCACAACTAAAGTAAATGGAGGGGCAACTTTTAGGCACTTGAAAAGCTTTCTCTGACTAGGGGAGGTGCAGGTCCACCAATGCTCGTCACAGTAGCCACAACCTCTCCAACCCAACCCAACCTAAACACACACAACCCACAACCACCACCAAGCCTTCGTCACCCTCACCATCCCACCCAGTCCCAAACCCTCTTTACCTGGGATGAAATATTCAAATTGATTTTTTCAATTTCTTTTTATCAACAAAATCGAGGATTTGAAATAGAGCAAGGGATATAAGCCATCGCAGTGAAGGTGGGTATGGTTTGAGTGGGGGTGAAGGTTGTGGGAGAGCCATCAGTTGTTGCTGGGGTGATGAGTTAATTGGCTTGGTGTCTGGTGTTGGTTGTCCATGACTTTGTTGGATTGGAGGAAGGGAGATATATTATTCCTCGATTGGTGGTGGGTTTTAATGGGCTTGGCTTAAGGAGGGATGGAGATATATGGACGGGGAGAGTTATGTTGCAGTGATGGGGGAGTGTGTGTGGGGTTTGGGTGCACCAGGAATTGCCCATGCACCCTAGGGGTGAAGCAATTTCCGATTTTGACCCTTAACAATACACCATGTGCCATGCACATGCTCAAATTTAACAAAAAACAGTTAACAAAACTGATGTTAGGACCATATGTCCTAACGAAACTAAAGTTGAAGGACCACGAGAACAATTCTGGAAATTGAGGGACAAAAATGCGAATTGAGTCAAAATTCAGAGACCATTAGACCTAAAAACCCTTATTTTAATTAACAAAAAAGGAAAAAACGGAGAGTTTATGTCTCCTACTCTCTCTCTCTCTCTCTCTCTCTCTCTCTCTCTCTCTCTCTCTCATAAGGGACTAACGAAATTAGGGTTGTTTTCTCTACCACAAGATCGATCTTCTTAACGGTGACAGTGTTTCGAGGAAACTAGTTGGTACAAAACTAGTAGGTGCCGACGACGAGATCTGGGAGCAGTTCCGGGTTGGGTCGAGCTTTGAGGAGACCAAAGAGAGATATTGAGGAAGAGAGAGGGAGACGGCAGAGGGATGGGAGAGATAGAGAGATAGAGAGAAAGAGACAGAGAGTGTGGAGAGAGGGAGGGGAGAGATAACAAAAAAACTGTAAAACCTTAGTTTTTTTGTTTTCAATAATGGGGGTGTTTTTGAGTTTTTTTTATTTATTTTTAGGTTAGAGTTTTAAAAATGGGCCTACCAAACGGTTTTTGTGACTTTGGACTTAAAATCCGTTTTTGAGTTTATAAAATTGGATCTAAGTAGGATACCAAATGGGCCCTTAACATCCCAAAAACACTTTTCTCTATTTCTACCAAACATTATGGATAACACTTTTCAATAATTAGGATTCGCTTTGGGACTATTTATGTAGAAAGCAATTTTGCTCATAATTTTTATTAAAAACCCAAATGTTTCATGAAAAAACACTTGGAAGTGATACCTAAAGAAGCCCTAACATCATAAAGTTTTTTATTATTATTTTTTAAATTTTTTATCCAAAGCACTTATAAATTTTTCTTTCAAACGCTAAAGCTATAAAAAAAAACGCTTTTAGTTGTCAAAAAACAGTTTTAGCCCTTTCAGCTGCAATGCCAAACATGCCCTTAGAAATGGCGTTAGCATTGTAGAATGCACATCACGAAAAGCACTCGCAAAGAGCAATTGGCAAAACTTCATTCTTAGCCAAAAACACTTTTCTCTATTTCTGCTAAAAACACACCCAAACAGGTCCTTAGTTGTTAGCTGTGGTGTTACTAAGTGAGCCTTACCAAGAACAATCTCAATAACCCTTAATTTTTAGCTAAACGGTGTTGCTAAGTGAGCTTGCCACGCTTTAGTTACCTTCAAAACAATTTTAGCTTACTAAAACCACTCTAAATCGGGTCGACACAGCTTGAGTTCCATTTGAGTTCGACTTGAATTTGACTCGTTTGACTCGTAATAGAAACAAGCCAAGCCAAGCTAGTTTAAGAAACTACCCAAACTTGAGCTTCGTTTTGTTAAAGACGCCCTTCATTTTTAGTTAAGTCAACCTTACCAAAACCAAAACCTCACTCAGGAGGAGGTAGATAACAACATGACCAATTACAAATTAGCAGGTAGAAAGTAACCAACTATGGGGCCAGGTTGAAGTTAAATCTGTTGCCATAGTCAGCACCAAATACAAGAACAGATACAGGTATGAATTACCTACATGTCACCGTCAATTGAAGAAGCCCTCCCATGTTCTGTGAATGAGATTGATTGGGGGAAAAAAGAATATAAAGAACAGCAGAGGGACTACAAAAGGCCCACAAACCACCCTAGTCATCACCCAAAATGCGGTGCACTGCAAAGCCAAATAGACCTGGGAGGTTATTTTCTTCTGTGATTGTGACTCTGCCTCGGCTTGGCACATGAAGGCCATGTTACTCTTGCCCCAAAACTCCTCTAAAAGACAATAATGTAAGGACCTGTGAGATCATTTCCAACTGCTTCGAACGGCTCTCTTTTAATACCTTACCCAAAAAGATTACTTCATCAACAGTAATTGCATGTCACAAGGATAACACTACTTTGCTATCCTCATTCAATTACATTCTACAATGTGGAAATCTTATCATGCGTGGCGGAATGTGATTGGTTGGGGATTGCAAAACAGTGCTATCCCAGTGACAAGTTTTTCTTATACTTCGGAAGTTGGAATATCTTTTGAGTGCCCTGATTTTGTGTCGAAAGCAAAAAAAGAAAAAAAGAAAAAAAGAAAAAAAGAAAAAAAAGAATACATTTTCTGAGCAATTGTCCTTTCCACTGGCTCTCTTGCTGAAAATTTGGTAAGAAATGAGATCGTGTTAAAAAAATTAACCAAAAGCTGCCATTTATTTATCTATATTCTATAGTCATGCATAAAACAAGAGGAACTAAATGAATAAACAAAAGCAATCTTGCCCATGTGGGTTGTAAGGAAATGCTTTGCCAATGGAACCTGAAGCTGCTGCATAATGGAGTCCGATGATGATGATGATGATGTAAGAATGCATGGTCTCATGGGTTGTTCATAAGAAGCATAAAATATATCATAAGCATACTAAGAAAATACATGGAAACATGATTAGTCCATGAATATTTATGAAAATGGTGGATACTCTCAGTGGATGGATAGGGCCAGAAGATCAAGTAACTGATGGTGATGCCATCAAAATGTAAAAACCCATGTGGCCTGTAAGGGAAGAAATGACACTAAATATGACATAAAGATGATCAATGAGGTGTGCTCTTTCTGCAACAAATTGGCAATTACTTAAAAACAGTTAAAAATAAAGGGCAAATGGGTAAACAACAATCATTAGGCTATAACCTACACTATAAGAAGCCTAGATTTAGTTGTGCAATTATGGAGAAGAGAAATTATTCGTATGGACCCACCTCCGCAAACTTTGAAAGGGTTTCTGAGAGTGAAGGATAGGCTCATATCTGAATGAAATGTGCAAAACAAAGAATGGATGTCACGACCCATGGAAGTACACACCACCTCGGCTCCCTGCAATCGCTTATAAAGCCCAGATCGGCCCAGTAGTTTACTGATGTGGGACTCAACATGCTGGTGCAACCTGGGCTGTTACAATGACAGATGACAATGGGTTATTTTCAAGAACACTACCAAAATATGCAGGGTCCAGATATAAGCAAGACTTGATGTGATGCAATTGAGGTAGTGTGGAAAAAAATGAAATTGTTTATAGTAAAATGTCCACTACTGAGAGTATAAGCTAGTACAAGAACAATTCACACCAAGTCAAGATTTAATGCATCTTACTCGTTCACTGAAGAAAAGTAGCAGCAAAACCGTGAATCTGACTTACCTGCAGAACCATCTGAAGCTGACTTACATAATCATCTGCACAGAAAACCTAACAATTGAAAGAGCAAATTCATCCGGGATGATATTTAATGACTGAATGCATCAGCCATACCAATGACATTCTTATTGCGGAAGTTGTTTGATACATTTTGGTCTATTGAAAATCAAACACCCGAAATTTCAAACCACTGTTCTCATCATCTGTACTTTCAGAAAATTAAGACAAATAAGTTGGGCAATAAATAATTGGTATCTAAGTAAACCAAAATTTTTAATCTTGTGACGGTAAAAACTTATAGCGAAGATACACCTTATACTTTCTTCCTTTAAATTGTTTATCGATACAGAGCCGCATTGTGATGAAGAACACCACCAATTCGTGTAGAACAGAAAAATAAAAGAATGCAAAAGGACAAAATTTCTCCACAGCTGGGAAAATACATATAATTGCTACATTTGAATGTCATCGAGTGCATCTGCTACGAAAGCAATCTGAAAGCATCTTCTGTGAAATCACTTTGGAACTGAAATATCGAAAAATCTGCAGAATGTACATTCACTGGTCGGAGACAGAATTCACTTGTTGCTGCTGCTGTCCATCTAGCAAACTTATCTCTCTTCGAAATTTAGCAATATGAGCTTGAACCTAATATACATGACATTTAAAGCCAACTGTCAGTATAGTTAACTTGAGCCTTTTTCTATCGCTAAGTAATTATTACATCTCAACTAAGACAGGGAGTAAACAAACTTATAGTTTACATTACTTACTGCTCATGCCAAAACATCAAATACTCTCATATCTCTACAACATGGAATGCATCTCATTAATCCTTAGAAGATTCAGGATTCAAAACACATGCTTAGGTTGGTTCCCCTCACTCTATTTTCCTCATATGAACTTTGATTCATAGAAGCCTCTTGTACGTGACTTGGCCCAGTCACCAAGCGTGACTGGCAATTCAAGAGGTGAAACTCTAATGGTTGTTTGCTGACCTATGGGATCTTAAGTCTTTTGATCAGAGTAAGGTTCGTGAGAGCAATATGACCTATAAACGCAAAACACATGCTGATTTATTGTTATTTGTTTTGGCTGGTTTTCGCCCCAATATCATAAATCAATTTTTTAGCATTTGAGTACCAAACACTGTTCAGTCTAAAACTAGCGCAGTAGTACATGTCCGGCTGGTCTCTGGGGTTTACAAAACACACTCTTGGATTCAAACATTGTAACCCTGTATCCATGGCTGGCTGGCTAATAAAATTGCACTGAAGACAGAGCTGCAGAAGAGGGACAGTATTTGATCATACATATATAAATGAGAACGGTGAATTACTTCTAATAATGAAAAAAAGGCCTTCAACTTATAACCAAGGTTCTTTTTTGAGTGCACAAAGGGTAAGAATGGAGAGCTCTCCCAGGAAGTCTCTCAACAAAAAAATTTAATATGCAAAAACGATGAGCCTAGGCACTCAGTGCCAGCAGGTAAAGTTTTTGCCAAGAATATGCACACCGTGACAACTCTTCATGCTCACAAAGCGAATCTATATCCAGAAATTTCAGACAAAGTAATGCTTACCTGCTGACGAGCTGCTGCAAGTTGTAACAGCTCATCTGCTTCTGAGAAATTCATGAACCACTGGGACATCGGATGATCTTTGGTGTCACCTCTCTTTCTCTTACTTGGATCCTCAACTGGCACTACATGCAATGAAAAGAAGTAGTTATTACATGCACAGCATGATAAAGAGAAATTACAGACAACACAGCAAAAAGAATTCATACCAGGAGGAGGCAAAACGGAGCCAGCAGGTAATCTGGGCACAATTAAAGCTGGCTGATTCTGCACACGAGCTAAAAACGCCTCTGAAGGCTCGGGGAACACAATCTCATCATAGGATTCCACGACAACAGGTTTTTAGTTGACATAGGACCAGACTCATCCTCTGGGTACAACTTCAAATGATGAAATCTGTAACAAGTGAAAGATCAAGTTCAGCTTGCGGATGGGTAGCTAGTACCAAATGTATGACAAAAAGAAGAAGAAGAAACAGTTGTTTGTTTGTTTCAAGTTGGTTGGCTCTAATTAAATGTAAAATCAAACTCTATGGACTCTAATGTGCCCAAACATGTTATACACAAAAAAAGACGAACAAATGCCCAACAATCACAGAATATAAAGTAGTTCAATCAAACTCGTTCTTTGCACAATTGATCCACCAATTAAAGACATTAGAAGGTTAAGCGAAATCTAGTTGCCACATTTGGTAACAATATGGTGAGATATAGCAGGATGTGTTGCTGGAGGGTTCTGATAATAACTCAGATGGAAAATGAATATAATGACATTGGACATTAAAACACAGAGTTGCTTCTATTCAACTAGATTTGCTTGTATTATTCCTTTCTTCAGCATTATTTTAGTGCTTTCTCCAAATTCCCAGAACACAGACTGTGTCAAATAAAAAACTGGCAAGCCTACTACCAAGTAAATCACATAAAGATGATATTTAAAACAACTCACAAGTTTAATGGCTTATCACAAACATCACTGTGGAAAAAAAGAGTAATAGCGATTTCAAATTCGCCCCAACCACATTCTGACAACTCGAATGGTGGTGACTCAATCACCCTTGTGGGATTATTGAAACTGGAATGCAGCTGAAAAACAGCACGCTTTATCACCACTCCCAAATCCTCATTGGTTGCCCCGCGGACGTATACAGTCCACTTATGTGATTGGTACCTAGTTAAATATCACATAATGTAATCAGATATTCTATTTCTCATTTAAGTAACTCAAGAAGCCAATAAGCCTAGCACAATGAACAATACTTACTCGTTTGCCTTCTTACCGAGCCAGAATGAAATATTGCCATACACTATCGGAACACTAATCTCAACATCTTTGAGTTTCTTATGAAAAATCTACACAAAGTTACATGAACAAAATACAATAAAAAAACTACAATTCAAGTTCAAAACATGGACTCATAGTATTAGCATGTGCTCAAAACTTGTTTCATAATATTCTGCTGATTAGAATAATGGGCAACAATTTTTAAAAAAAAATTGTAAATTTAAAAGTTTTATTTTTAAAATTTGAACAAAGATCTACCCTCACCCTCCATAACAAGAACATAAACACATTATACAATGTGAAACAATACTTGGCAAAACAAATCAATCCCAAAACAGGGTCTTGAAGTTGAGGTTCATAACTAGTTCCAAAACCAGTTTTGGGAATCTGGGCATTCTTGCTTTGGTCAATTAGGAAATGGGTAATTGTAAAAATTTGAATTGAACAAGAAGGTTACCTTCTTTTCACTGTCTTCTGGTTTGCCCATTTTGGTGCGCAGTGATTTGGGCGTGGGCCCACTCAACTCAGGCTGATCTAGACCGTGCGATTTGGAAGAAGAACTATTGTTCATATCCTTGCAAAAACCTTTTACTTCTCTGGAAGGCAAGTGCAATCAGAGAAACTAGGGTTTCTTCCCGCGAAGTCACAGAGCGTACGGTCTCCAAGCTCCCTTACGCTTTCAAGAGTTTCCTATACGACGCGGCTATAAGGTTTTCTCCTTCCTACCAATGAGGTCGGGACATGTGGTGCCGAGTGAGGGCATTTAAGTATGTCCAAGATAAATAGGTTTTGGGAAATGACCGAAAGACCCTCTCTTGAAAGCACTGGCGCTCTGTGGATGGCTAATGTGAAAGAGCAAGCGCTTATGACATTTCCTGAAATTGATTTTTTATAAATTTTTATTTTACATTTATTTCTCTTACATTCTCCAGAATTATATATATATATATATATATATTTTTTTTTCCATCTATTTGTTTTGGAATTTCCAACATGGATGAGCTTGCCTCGGTTGATTTCATCAATATCCTTGATGTAGCAACAAACAAAGTTTGAGACCAAATGAACTTGATATATCATATTCAAGAGATGATAATCCCCTTTTTTTGGGGTGAACAATGGGGAATAAAATCCAAAGACAAACTACTCAGATTGGTTTAAACTAGGGCTGGGCATACACACTGAAAACCCCAATTAAACCACCCAAACTAAATTGTTGGTCTGGTTTGGTTTCATTTTTTAATTATTTTTTATTGGTCATCGGTTTGAAATCAAACCAAACCGATATTTATGGTTCGGTGTTCGGTGCTTGATATTGAAATCATTGGTTAAACCAAACCAAACTAGTGGGTGATACTCAGAAATACTAATAAAATATAAAAAATTGTTAAAGTGTTGTAAAATAAACGAGAATATGCGAGAATATTAAGTTGCACGTAAAGTAAATAAGGCACAACATTTAACGAGGTTCGGCCATGCCTACATCCTCAGAGAGCAGCAGCAGTAACTTTTCACTATGTAAAATAATAGGACTACAACTTTAGTGTTTGTAATAAATGTGGCTCAATGATATTTCTCTCTACTCTCTTTTTATCTCCACTCACTCACCCTCTTTCTTCCTTCTCTTCTTCCTTCTCTTCCTTTCTTTCCTTTCTACCTGGGCTCTCATTTCTTCTCAGATGGTGTATCTAGCAAAAGGAAGGGGGAAGCCTAATTTGTAGGCAGAATTCTATGGCTGCTTACTCATATTCCTTTGGCTGCACGTGGGTGTTGGCAGACAAGCTTCATCATTATTCTTCAATCAATTAGGTAGTGGGCTCTACCATTTTGGGCTCCATTCTTGACTTTACAACACTCCCCCTTGGAGACCACAAATGATATGCCGGTTGCCTCATTAAAATCTTGCTTGAAGAAAACCCAGTGAAGTAGAAAACTAATGGAAGGAAGAAGAGTACATTAATCAGTATAACATACTTCTGGATGCTCCCCTTGATGACTATCTCCCCCTGAAATCTTCATGACTAACTTTCTGGAGAGAAAATATTTCGGAGTGAGTGGAGGATGTAGCCATCAACAATTCACGTAGTTGAGTAAGTACATATATTTCCAGTGAGCTATCTCTATGTAAATCTTAGAAATTTCCAGAGTTCGCATGTCCAACAAAGTCTGGGCTATTTGTATGTTCACTTGAAAAGAATATGCCTGTATATGGTGTTATACGGAGATAGCATCAAATATGCCTCACATCATCCCAAAGTTGTGGTGATGGAGCTGAGCTCTATCTAGAAAATACAATGTCTGGTCCAGTATACTTCTGGAAAATCATTTAAGTGCCTAACGAATAACCCATATAAAAATGCTTCAATACTTTCTTAGTAGTAAGCAAGAATGTCATTGACATAATGCTTGATCTTCAAACTTAGACAAATATTTATTAAACTCTTCAGGAGTTTTTTTACCAAGTATTAACTCTTCAGGAGTTTTGATCAATTATCAACTCTTTAGGAGTTGTAATGTGTTGCAACCATATCATAATTAATGTACTCACTGAGGCAATTTATACATTTTAGTATTGAGTACAGATTTTGTGCTTCAGGCACATGTCCTTCAGGGACTTGCTTCATGCAGTTTCAATCATTCAGGGATTTTGTTTAAGGGATTCCACTTTATGACACATTATATAGCTTTAACCCAGCTATTTATAAATCTTTAGGGAATCGCTTCTAGCGATATGCTCCGTGCATTTAATAACCCTTAAAGATAACATGTTGGTATCCTTGAATGTGCAATAAGAAGGCACGATGGCATCTGTAAACATGGAGAGACCCAACATTCCTTGTTTCTACCAGAAACATTGTGTCATACAAAGTGAGTGTATTCCTCTTTAGTCCAAACACCCAAGTATAACTTTTAGGGTTAACATCTTTCGTGGTTTGTACTATGGGTTTGTTCTTTCAAGTTCATTCTCATCTGTAATGGAATTGCCTCTTTCCATTTTGGCCAATGATATTGTCGACATTTGATAATAGAACGTGGTTCCAATCAACATAGCCCATTGATGATTTGAGTAGCTACTCCAAAATCAAAAACTGTCATTCATCAATTTGTGATCCAACCATTCTCATGTGCATGCAAATGCATAAATTATAATCATTTCTTTGCTTTTGGGTACCCAAGCTACCTCAGGGGCTGTTATTGTCTCTTTCCAGATAAACATATCTTATAAGATGAATTATGTGAGAATGTGGATCTTAACCTCCAATAGAGCGTTATTTTATAGGAGGGCGTGGATAATCTCCATTTAGGAAGTTGGAACATTTAGAACCCATATATTTGTCATGCTGCAGACATGCCACAGATTAATACACACATGTCAATGAATTATCCTTCTGGGGCTTTAAATCATATAATTTGCTACGCATTAGGTGTACACCGTATTAAGAAACGTGCAAAGCATAAAATAAAGTAACACACAAAGAATTATTGTACGTGGTAACCCCACCTCTGGGGAAAAATCCACGGGACTCCTTAGTTCCAAACAAATCCACTGTAGAACAATGATTACAAGAAGTACTCACATATTTATCTTATACATATTCTAGATAATGTATATCGACTTCTTCGTAACTCAACTTCTATCACGGGATGATTTTTTGACATTCCATATGTTGAACGCAATACTAGTCACGATTGCTTCAAGCTCTTCGGAGTTCTTCCGACTCTCCTTATGTTGAATCTGATACTAGTCACGATCGATTCAAGTTCATCGGAGAAAAACCGTCACAACGGTCTTAGTGTCCTCAACTGTATGAGTCATTGAACAATGCAAATGAATGCAATATAAATGATAAAAGTGTTTGATAAATCACCAAATAAACATGGAATATATGATGATTTATCTCAAATAAAAACGCAGCTCTCTTAAACATTTAAGCACACAAAACTAATGTTGAAAAGCTGTAAAAGATGAAGAAGACAAAGGTCTTCTTTTATATGCTTTTCGCTCCACCCAAAAATAAAACCATGTTAAAAAAGATGAGATTGATTTTAACACAAATAAAATCAATCACCAAAGATTTTTGTCCTATTCTACAATTATGCAATGCATGGTCTAATCAATAGGAAAATAAAAACCCTATAAAGGAAATTTATGATAATCCCACCATTAAAGGAGTCTTAATATTCTTAGGTGAACTACCAACAATATCTCAACACCTTTAATAATGTGATCTGATTAAAACTTGATTTCCACGTAAATTACTTAAGAGATAAGTAACAAATCATGATTGAGAGAAAGAAAGAATAAGCAAAAAGATATTGTAAAAATATGCCTAAATGAGATGCACTCCTAAAGAGATTCTAATTGATTAAAATCAAGGAAAATGAAGGAAATAAAATCATATTAGATTCCAAAAAACATTCTTATTATGAGTGCATGAAAAATGACATGTCTTACCATTTAGATCAAATGTCTCACAAGTGTTAAGTCACAATTATGGAATTTGGGGATTGCTGAGCCATTTCAATCCTGCAGTTTCTGGAAATCAGAGACAACAATTTTGCTTCAACCCTATAACTAAATGACTTAACATACTAACAAAGTTCTAGAAAATGCCAACACAAGCTTCTCGTTCTTTTCTCATGTGTAATAACTTATCAAAGAGGGGAAATGTGTAGGATGATTTTGACTATTGAGTATGCTTGTATGGCCAAGCCCAACTCACATTAGTTGGACTCTCTAGCGTTAAGATAGACCATGGGGGATGCAATTAGCATTAGCGGGCTTGTGTTTGAAAGCCAATTTCCATCATGGAATCATTTATTTTCATATGCTGGTCAAGACGCCATTGCAACTAAAATTAACTCTGAAAAATAACTTCCTATACAAACAGATTATATTAATTACCATGACAATCACCTAAGAATAAACGCTAACAAGGTTTAGTTCAATGAAAAAAGTATTGACTTGTAAATAAGTGATCTTAGGTTCGAACTCTCATGATACCTAACTTTGACTGTATATTTCTCGCAGAGTGCATGCATGCAAACTCTTGACTGTATGCACTTGAGGAGTGTGCTGGAAGTACAAACACTATCCTTGCAATAATTATGCCGATATAAGAAAACAACTTGAAATTTTTTGGTAGAGGCAACTTGAAAATCCTATTGTGTTGTGTCCATTTGTTGGTAAAACACTATGCCCCTACAACATCCAATTAGGCCAATGGAGTGCCAGAAAAAGATTGGAGGTGGAGAGCTGTGGTTACTCGACACTAGATATAAATTTGTTCACAACACAAACATTTTAAGTTGTCCCACAATGTCCAAATAAGCCAAGGAATAACCAGCTAAAATTGGAATGGAAAGTTAATACAATTTGACATGTTGTCTTGGAGACACGCTTGTGTTCTTCAATGAAAGAGATTAGTTGTAGGTGTAACTTTTGTTGAGGTGGTGGTGGTGAGACGAACATTAAGAAACTTAATTTGAAATTCATTTACTTGTAATTTCATTTAAGCAAAAGATTATTGTTTGGCTTCTTACTATAAGCTGTGATTCTTTAACCACAGTCTGAGGGCATATAACTCATTACAAACACATAAAGAAATTTTTTTATACATGCATCAAATTATTATTTGTCAATAAAGAGAAATGGCTCATTACAAGTAAGGAGCTACATGTGTGTGTATATATAGAGCTTCAGTTGAGGGACACATATAGAGTCCATCATGCATTGTATTTCAATTATCTAAACCGTCTAGATTTTAGGTATTCTCTCAAAGATCATCTATGTAGAAAAGCACTTGAATCCGAAACTATTTGCCCACTCAATTAAATTGTTGTTATTATAGTCTTTTTTTGAAGCACTGTATTCTTCTATTTTGTTGGTCTCAATTAGATAACTTAATGATTTTCAATTTTTCTGATTTTTTTTTCAAAGATGATCTACGATTGAAGACTTAAAAAATAGATGATTTGAATCGTTGAAAAACATTCTTAGAGGACCCCGGTTGGTCCCGATGTATCTGGTATAAAAAAAGAGATATATAGATAAAAAAGGGTAAGGATGTGAGAATTAAGCCCAAAGAAAAAGAGAGAAACCACATCACTAGTTGAGAAGCCCACAATAATGCGCTGGTGAAGTATGAGCGAAGAAGAAGTTAAATTAGAAGTTTGCTAGCACTTGGATTTGGGTGTTGGGGAGTCTAATAGTAAGCTAATAAGGACGTAGTAGCTGGGTGCCGAGTGGAAAAACTTAGTTTTGAATAAATGAGTTCAGATCGGTCGGTTCATTCAGTTCGGTCTTATATTAATTAGTTACTCGGTTATGGACCATCTGGACAATCTAGACCAATATAATCCGAATTTGCTATCAAATTTTAAATAAAACTTGGACCGAACCGAACCGGACGATGCGGTTTGACCGGTTGTATCAGTTTGCCAGGCCACATGAATTGGCGAAGGAATTCGTTTAATCCAAACGTTTGGTAGGAGGCCCATCCAAACAGATTGACTAGGTAAAGGACTAACAAATGGAAATACACATCTCTGTTTTTCTATCTATATTGTAAAAAGTAATCTTCTGAAGAGGTGAGTTCTTTTAGGACTTGGGTTTTCACATTTATATATACGCCCATGAAACATTACGATGATCAAAGAGTTGTAATGTTCTCGACCAAATCAATCATTCTGGCAAGGAGATGAGGCATAACTTCAAAGAAAAAATTCGATTGAATTATGTCATTGATCAACTTTTTGGGTGGTCATACAATTTCCTCCAAAGGGAAAACACTAGAAAAAGGAATGTACAAGTACACGATTACTTTACAAAATTCTCTCCTAATTCATATATTAAGTAGTGCATGTGTATGCTGCAAATCACAATCCATTAATTCAAGCGGAAAGTGAGGTCAATGAAGATGTCTTCTCTACAAGGAATTGTGAGTCCACCCATCGGATAATTGTATCCGAATTCTTCCTCTGCCTTCCTTAGCAACTCTTGAAATGAAGGCTGATTCAAGAACGATATCGGAACGACAAATCGCTTCTTTTCAAACTCTCCGACGTACACTACAATGTAGCCTTTTGGAACACCAACAGAAGATGATGATGCTGCTTTGTTTGCAAACAATAAGCTCGATTGTCGTAGAATTTGTGATAACCGAATCACCATGCTTAATAAGGAAATTTAATTATCACCTTATTAAAAGGGGCTGGAAAAAAAAACACTTGGAAGAAAGAGAGAAGAGAGAATAGATTTTCTAGCTTGCGGAGAATGCGAGGAGTACTTTGGTTTGGAAATTTTGTTGGGATATTGTGTGTGTATAAATAGAGAAGTAAGATGGAGAAAAATGTATGGAAAATTGTGCATTTGTGAGGGCAATTTGGGAAGGGAATGGTAGACACATAAATATTAGGTTAATGCACATGGTTGTGTTCCTTCTTATGCTCAAAATCTTGGTAGCTATGGATTGAGGGTAGCATATTTTGATGGGACCATTATGCCCCCAAACATTGTTCTTGACCACAAACCTACAAGGAAGTGAGGAAAACTGGTATTGTTATAAGTTCTAGTGGCTGACCTTAAATAGCGGAGAGCCATAGACATATATGTCTATGATTTCTTGACAACAACATTTAAAGATTGTATGCATCATCTTACTTTTAGCATTATTATAAGGTGTGATATCTAGTTATTTACCAGTTTTAGCTCATGCATGCCAAACAAAACAAAGTATCTCATTAGTTTGAGGGTCATTTTCTTTACCTTAATCAAGCTTTGGACAAACATCTTTGAAATATTAGTCTCACAATATATAATTTCAGCCCTTCTACTTCAACCTACCATGCACCGATATTGTCCACACTTTAACAACCTAGAAGAGAGAAGACCCAATGGACCTCTAGGTGTGATCACAAAAGGTCTTGGTGCAATTAGGAGTAGACCACCTATATTTAAACCGTGGAGTATTTTTGTATTCTTGACTTGTATTCGAGCCACCTACACCAATACTTAATAGCTCAAGTTAGAATTTATTCTCGAAACACCTTTAGCACGACTGTGACAAGTTTTTTTAACTTATGAAAATCTTATTGTTTTTCTTTTCTTTCATAAAGGAAAATACTTGCCTCCTTTTGTGGAAGTAGGAACTCCTACTTTCCTGCCAATCACAGTTTGACATGTGTGTAGATATTTTTCTTTTTGTGGTTTTCATGAATTATTTTTGCAAATGTGTCAAACTGTGATTTGCAGGAAGTAGGAATGCCTACTTCGAGGGAAGGAGGGAAGGAGGGAAGCAGTGCCCTTAAAAAAAAGACATTTAGCCTATAAGTTCATTTTTATGTCTAATGCGGTATATATAAGTTTTTATTGTATTATGAGAATTTTATTCAAGTCTATTATCTGTAATTCTTGTTATTGTATGAACAAACATAAAAGGTTTAACAAGTATACACTACACAACACACAAAATTTATGAATGGATGTGGATATAAAACAAAGTTTTGGGGAAAATAGTATATATACCAAAGCTATACACAAAATGTACGTCTTCTTCTTGTCCTAGTACATCAACTTGCTAGACAATCCCTCTTGAAGAGCACATGACGTGCGGCTTACAGTTATCCAAAGTTGCAAGTTTGCAACCCACTCCATTTGAAGTTAATAATTAAATCCTGTTGTGACATGAATTTATTGTCATTTTGGTGTATGAAAAAAAAATTAAAATGGCAGGAAAAGAAAGGTAACAAGGTAATGGACTGAAAATAATTTCAGAATCTAGCGAGGAACACCTTACATTTGATGTTGCAAATTCTAGAACTGATAAAAAGAAATTGTAGGGTGTCAACAATTTCTATTTACAATTTCCTCAACTGGTCATACAAGTTGGAAGATTTCTTGTCATTTCTATTTACAATTTCTGTTCACAATTTGTATCACAGATCACATGTCATTTAATCTAGAAGTAAGATTGATGAAGATTTCTTCTCTGCAAGGGATTGTGAGTCCACCCATTGGATGGTCAAATCCAAACTCTTCCTCTGCCTTACTTAGCAACTCTTGGAATGAAGGCCGACTCAAGAATGAAATTGGAACCATGTATCTCTTCTTTTCACTCTCTCCAACATACACTGCTAAGAAGCCTTTTGGAACACCTATAGCAGATGTTGAAGCTGCTCGGTTTGCGAAAAGACTTCCTTGTCGGAGGATCTGCTTAGCATGCGTAATACTAGGCAATCGGATAGCCATATGTTTAAAAATCTGAATTATCACTTTTCAAAAAGAGCTTGAAGTTGAAAGTTGACTGGAAGAAAAAGATTTAGGTTAAGATGGTGATGAGGAGTTGATTTATGGGATAATATATGTGTGTGTATATATATATATATATACAGATGAAAATTGAAAGGGTACTGTAGAATGTGGAAAGAAATGTATGGAAGCAAATATGATTGGGTTGGCAAGTGACATAAGAATTTGAAGGATCGCATGGCTGTGCTTTCCATCTCAATATGAACTACTTGGTAGCTGTGAAGTCTGTATATTTTTTGAGAACAATATGCCCCCCAACTATTTTTATGACAACCTACAAACATGAAACCCCACTTGAAATTTTAGAGAGATAGATGTGTGGAAAGCAAAAGCTTCTTGTTGATTCGAGTGGCTGACTTCCTTTCAATACAGGACAGTCTTCAGACATATTATGTCTATAATATCTTGACAGCAATAGATTAATTAGCACTCTTTGGACCACATTAAATATGTACACATTACCTACTGCAAGATCAATAAGTATCATACTACCAGAAAAAATGCCTTGACGGTTAAGAAGTGTCAAGAATCTATTTCCTTGACGGCTAAAAAAGGGTAAAGAATACCAGTGTCAATAAAGGGTACCCACTGATCAGCTTTCCAAAAATAAGATCTCAGCAAGTGCAGGATCATTTTATTCACCCAATTTTTCATTATTAATTTTTGGCAAAGCTTTTTGAAATATCCTGCAGATCAAAATTCCTATCGTTTATTATGTTTTGTATCTGAATCATCAGTTCCTTGTTTCCACCGTTTCAATAAACAATTGAACGCTGATAGTAAAATATTTAACCAGTTCAGTTTTCTGGTGACAGTCCAGAGTGTTCAAACAAATGAGATACTTCCTTTTCTTGTTGAAAGGACAAAGCCACATGGTAGGGTTATTTGGTTCTCCCACCCAACCAATCAAGAAGCATCCATTCTAATAGCACCATAAATTCTTGTTTTCAAAGCAGCATTAAAAGAAAAAACAAGAAGAAAAAGAAGAAAGAAAAGAATACTAGTTGTTTGCCACACAAGCTAACAACTTAGTAGTCATCCCACACAAGCTTTTATTGGGTAGGGCACATATGCAGTACTGTTGGTTATCTCTTGTGACTCTGCATGAGCACTCAATTCAATGAATTTATGAGCCTCTTGTCAAACAGGCTTATCTTTGAAATTTAACATCTAGTGGTCCCAGAGGAGATTGCGAAGTAGGGAATGCTGTTTCTCCACAAGGATAGAGCTTGGCCATTATCCAGAGAGTTTTTGGAGGATGAGTTATGTAAGCAGGAAGACAAGACCATATGATTTGGTACAAGCATATGGCCTTCATTGCTTCCCCACTCAGTGACTCTTCACCAATCATGTCATGTAGTGTACCGTATAGTTTTCTGCATACCCTTTCATCTATATATACACACATGATCAAGTTCATCATGAGCAACTAAAGTCTTCACCTTCCCAAGCATCAAACCTTTCTCTCTTTTCCAAGTACTTGGCATTCTTTTTCTTCTTCTTTTGTCCTCTTGAGCATATAAAAGCCATGGGTTTCCGGTTGCCTGGAATTGTTAACGCAAAGAGAAGTCTCATTCGATCTCGATCTACTTCAAATCAGACAGCTGAATCAAAGACAGATATCCCCAAAGGCTATTTTGCAGTGTATGTTGGAGAGAGCCAGAAGAAGCGGTTTGTGATTCCAGTATCATATTTGAATGAGCCTTTGTTCCTTGAATTGCTGAGTCAAGCTGAAGAAGAATTTGGATACAATCATCCCATGGGTGGTATCACAATCCCCTGCAGTGAAAGCACCTTCCTTGATCTTACTTCCAGCTTAAGTGCATGAGTGAACGAGAATCAATCATCAAGAGCATTGAAAAGATCCTCATTGCAGAACTCACTGAGTCAAGTTGTTGAAGAATATTGATGTGATCATATCCAAGGAATCCCCATTTCAGAAATCACTTTGGATTGAAACAGCGGCTACCATCGATCATTCACAGAATCAACTCACATCTTGTGTTGGAAGCAGAGCTTCTGTAATCCTGAAGCTGCTTGTGATCTGAGCAGAAGCATAGAAATTTATGCAGCAGATAAATTGACTAGCTAATTTCTTGTTAGTTAGTAATTTACTTAGTCTGCTTTTACTCTTAGCTTCATTAAGCATTATGTTAGTTAAGTGACTTGGGCTCATATGCCAAGTGTCAGTTAGTGTCCAACGGCTCTTAGGCCTTGTACTGCCATGTGTCACATTCACAATGGTAATGATTGGCTGATGTAAATGAAAGAATTAGAATGAATACAAAAGGGCGTGATCTCTGCAATGGTTCAGTAGATCACACCAGAGAACTTTTCCAAAATTCTGTATCTCCTAGCTACCTCTCTCACTCTCTCTAAATCTTGAGCTCCCTTGATAATCCAAATCCAAATCCAAATCTCAACAAAATGATGGTATTTTGAACTCCACAAAACCATTGGTCCAAAAATCATGATTCCAATTTTGAACTCAAAGGAAGTCAAATTATTGTCTTTTAATCCCATGTAAACATCTTTGTTGGCCCACCAGAATATTTAATATATGATAAATGCCTCATCCAATCTTGTCATACACTTTTCACAAGAAATAAATGGCAGAAGATTTGCACAAGAACTGTGTATAATTGCTTATTAATACTTTTAAAAAAAAATTTATATACATGGTGCCTCATACAGATTGGGATCTTGAATTAGACTGCATTTTAAAATTCTAGTGAATCCAATCTCTCTAAACTAATGATATTGGGGGGAGGTGAGGTGGGGGACTTTTCACTATAAGATAACTACATACAGTCATATGTGGGAGTTTTTAATTTTACCCTATCGATATTTGTGACTTTGGTTCGCCAAAGCACATGGAAAATATCATGTTCATATTGGTTCCATTTGATGCTTGACGCTAAGTAATTGAATGATTCACTCAAATTTTTGTGTGGATTACTTCTCTGTTACTCAAAAGCTGTGACACTAAAATTTGGTTAATGATTCTGTCATTAATTTCTTGAATATAGATAGGGATGTTATCTTTTGGTGCCTTTGTGGCTTCCTGATCTATCAGAAGATCCCTGCATATCCCATCTGATGATTCTCATTTGTTTGAGATAGCTGTGGAAAGCATGAATTTCCTCATGGCGAGAACATACTTCCTTAGTTATACGGGTTATCCTTTGTTCACTTACTGTGATTCCTCAACAACTGGAAAACCATCATTAGAGACATGTAAATGTTGGAAGTTACATGTCCGCAGTTGGTACAGACAGACCATACTTCTGTGTGTTGTTCTTTTACCCCTTCATGTTACTTAAATTCTGTTAATATTGTATCGAGGACAGGAAAATAAATTTAACAAGGTAAAAGGAATTTTTTCCGGCAAAGAGCTATCCCAATGTATTCTGTTTTATTTTGGTCTATTATCCCAATGTATTCTAAAATCAATAACAAATGTACAGTGTGAACAATTTCTATTTACTTCCTCAACTGGTCATACAAGTTAGAATTCCTTATATCTTATGCTGGAAAGCATAGAAACAAGAGAATGCACAAGTCTCTACAAAATTGTTTCTGATGATTTATCTTTGAGCGATAAATCACATGCCATTCAACTGAGAAGTGAGATTAATGAAGATTTCTTCTCTGCATTGGATTGTGAGTCCACCCATTGGATGGTCAAATCCAAATTCTTCCTCTGCCTTACTTAGCAACTCTTGAAATGAAGGCTGACTCAAGAATGAAATCGGAACCATGTATCGCTTTCTTTTGCTCTCTCCAACATACACTGGTAAGATGCCTTTTGAAACACCTACGGAAGATGTCGAATCTGCTCAGTTTGTGAAAAGACTTCCTCGTTGGAGAATCTGCTTAGCATGCATAATACCAGGCATTTGGATAGCCATGTTTAAATGTCTGTGTTATCACTTTGGAAGAGCTTGAAGTTGAAAATTGACAGGAAGAAAAGATTTAGGTTAAGATGGCAGATGTGGAGTTGATTTGTTTATGGGATAATTGTGTATGTATATATATACAGATGAAAATTGAAAGGGTATGTAGGAAAATATCAGGAATGTGGAAAGAAATGCATGGAAGCAAATATGTTGGGGCTGGCAAGTGACATAAGAAGTTGAAGGATCACATGGCCCTGTCTTCCATCTCAATATGAACTACTTGGTAGCTGTTAAGTCTGTATATTTGTTGGAGAACATTATGCCCCCAACCAGTTTCATGACAACCTATAAATCCCACATGAAATTTCAGAGAGATGTGTGGATAACAAAAGCTTCCTTTCAATAAAGGACAGGCTTCAGACATTCCTATGTCTATAATTTCTTGACAGCAATAGATTAACTAGCATTATTTGGACCAAATTAAATATGTACATATTAGCTACTGCATGTGCAGCTTTTCCAAAATAAGATCTCAGCCAATGCAGGATCATTTTTTTCACCTAAATTTTTATTTATATTTTTTTTGCAAAGCTCTTTGAAATATCCTGCGGAACGGAATTCCTGCCATTTATTATGTGTTGTATCTGAATCATGAGTTCCATGTTTCCACTCTTCCAATAAACAATTGAAAACTTGTGGTCAAATATTTTACCAGTTCCGTTTTCTGGTGACAGTCCAGAGTGTTCATACAAATGAATACTTCCTTTGCTTGTTGAGACTGAACGTCATAGATGAAAGAAAAAAGCCACATGGTAGGGTTGTTTGGTTCTCCCATCCCAACCAATCAAGCTATAGAGCATCCATTCTTATCCAGGCCCCATGTCAAATTCCAATAGCACCACAAAAATTCTTGCTTTCAAAGCAAGATTGAAAAAAAAGAAGACTAATTGTTTGCCACACAAGCTAACAACTTAGTTGTCCTGTCACACAAGCTTTCGTTGGGTAGGGCACATATGCGGTTCTGTCGGTTATCTTTCCGTGACTTTGAATGAGCATTCAATTCAATGAATTCATTATTCAAGAACATGTATATGCAATTAAGGGTTAGCAGACCTAATCTTAAACAGTAATTAGTGATTAGTCCAACATATATGGGCCTCTTCTCTAAGAGGAGTTTTTTTATTGGATTGAAATTTCACATCTGCTGGTCCCTTCTGTTGCCTGTTACATAGAGAAGATTGCTAGGTAGAGATGCTGTTTCTCCACAAGGATACAGATTGGCCATTATCCAGAGAAGTTTTTTTGAGGCTGAGTTGCATAAGCAGATAGACAAACCCATGTGATTTGGCACAAGCAAGTGGCCCTCATTGCTTCCCCTCTCAGTGCCTCTTCACCAATCATTTTATGTAGTGTACCATATGGTTTTCTGCATACCCTTTAATCTATATATACACACATGATCAAGTTCATCATGAGCAACTAAAGTCTTCATCTTCCCAAGCATCAAACCTTTCTCTCTTTTCCAAGTCCTTTGCATTCTTTTTCTTCTTCTTTTGTCCTCTTGAGCACATAAAAGCCATGGGTTTCCAGTTGCCTGGAATTGTTAACGCAAAGAGAAGTCTCATCCGATCTCGATCTACTTCAAACCAGACAGCTGAATCAAAGACAGATATCCCGAAAGGCTATTTTGCAGTGTATGTTGGAGAGAGCCAGAAGAAGCGGTTTGTGATTCCGGTATCATATTTGAATGAACCTTTATTCCTGGATTTGCTGAATCAAGCTGAAGAAGAATTTGGATATGATCATCCCATGGGTGGTATCACAATCCCCTGCAGTGAAAACACCTTCCTCGATCTCACTTCCCACTTAAGTGTATGACTGTGCGTAAATGGATTTTCAAAATCATCGAAAAGATCCTCATTTCAGACCTCACTGAGTCAAGCTGATGAAGGATGTTGAAGTGATCATATCCAAAGCATCATTATTTCAGAAACCACTGATTTTGGATGGAAAAAGAGGCTACAATGGATCATCCTTAGAATCAGCTCACCCTTCTGTAATGCTGAAGCTGCTTGTGATCTGAGCAATATCACAGAACTTTTTGCCGCAGAAAAATAATGATATGATGAGGTCCACAAAACCATTGTTCCAAAAATCATGACTCCAAGTTTGAACTCAAAGAAAGTCAAATTTGTTGTCTTGTAACTCTATGTAAACTTCTTTGTTACTCTACAGGAATATCAAGAATATATAACATATGATAAATGCTCATCCATTCTTGTCTTATAGTTTTCACAAGAACTAAATGGCAGCAGCTTTGCACAAGAACTGAAGTATAATTGGTTACTCATACTTATTTATACATGGTGCCTCATACAGATTCGGATCTTGAATTAAACCGCGTAGTCATATTCCAGTGAATCCTGTCTCTCAAAATTATGATTGGGGTGTCTTTCCCTATAAGATATCTGCAGATACATTCATATATGAGCTTTTCTACCCTATTGATATTTGTGACTTAGGTTCACCAAAGCACATGGAAAATATCATGTCCATGTCGGTTCCATTTGATGCTTGTTGCTAAGTAATCGAATGATTTCATAATTTTTATGAATTACAATGCTGTAAGTCAAAAAATTGTTTAATAGTTCTACCATTAAGTTCTCGATATATAGATAGGAATGTTGCCTTTTGGTGGCTTTGTGGCTTCTTGAGCTCTCAGCAGATCCCTGCTTATCCCATCTGATGACTCTCATTTGTTTGAGATAGCTGTGGAATTCTTGAAACTCCTCATGGCAATAACATACTGTTATCTTTAAGCATTATGTTATCTTTTGTTCATTCAGTACATGAACTTGCTAGCCCTTTTGTGTACTTTCAGCTTTGAAGTGACTGAATTTCTATTGTGACTGATTATCAACAAATGGCAAAAACCATCATAAGAGACATGTAAATGTCTGAAGTCGATACAAACATTCCATATTGCTTAAATTTTGTTAATAAATTAATACCCAAAAAAAAAAGTGACAGGAAAGAAAGTAAGCAAGGGAATGGACTGAAATCATATCAGAATCCAAAGAGAAACAATATCCTTTAATGTTGCTCTTTCTGTAATCTATAACAAATGTAAAGTTTGTCTACAATTTCTATTTACAACTTCCTCAGCTGTTCATATAAGTCCTTACAAACTTGTCTCTGATAATTTATATTTTAAGCACAAATCACAGGTCCCTTAACTGAGAAGTGAGATTAATGAAGATTTCTTCTCTGCAAGGGATTGTGAGTCCACCCATTGGATGGTCAAATCCAAATTCTTCCTCTGCCTTACTTAGCAACTCTTGAAATGAAGGCTGACTCAAAAATGAAATCGGAACCATGTATCGCTTTTTTTCGCTTTCTCCAACATACACAGCCAAGAAACCTTTTGGAACACCCACTGAAGATGTTGAAGCTGCTCCGTTTGCAAGAAAACGTCCTCGTCGGAGAATCTGCTTAGCATGCATAATACTAGGCAATCGGATAGCCATGTTTAAGAGTCTGTATTAACACTGTTGAAAGAGCTTGAAGTTGAAAATTAACTCGAAGAAAAGATTTAGTAAAGATGATGATGAAGAGTTGATTTGTTTACGGGTTAGTATGGAAGTGTCTGTATATATAGGTGAAATTTGAAGTGGTGGATGGGAAAATATTCGGAATGTGGAAAGAAATGGATGGAAGAAAATATGGTTGGGTTGGCAAGTGACATAAGAATTTGAAGGATCACATGGCTTTGTCTTCCATCCCAATCTGAAGTTGTTAGCTGTTAAGTCTGTATATTTGTTGGAGAACCTTATGCCCCCAACCATTTTTATGACAACCTACACGCATAGAACCCCAAACTTGGAATTTTAGAGATGTGTGGATAGAAAAGCTGCTTGTTCCTTTGAATACAGTTTTAGGTCAGACTACAGACATTTGTGGCTATAATTTCTTGAGAAAAAAAATTAGCACTCTATAGACATTTATGTCTACAAATCTTGTTAAAATACGGTACTTAGAATTTTAGAAATGTACGCAATGTCGACTGCACGTTCAATATGTATCAACTTTTCAAAAATAAGATCTCACCTGGTTCATGCTCATTTTTTCACCTAAATTATTTTTCTTTTGCAATGCCCTTTAAATATCCTGCAGAACTAACTTCTTGTCAGTTCTTTTGTATGTTATCTGGTAAGTCTGATTAATTACAAGTAAATGTCGGAATAACATTTGATTACTACAACGTAAGAGGTGGGGAAACATTTGACCAAATGGCAAAATAAATTTGTAGATTAATTACAGGTACTACTTGCTTGTTAACAGATATCTTCAGTTGCCATAAGGAAAGCGGAGAAGAGATTGTCAACACGGCTTCTCCCTTAGCTCTAGAATTTCTAGATTTCTCTAGTAGGTGGTTTTAGGGTTTTAGCCAAACGTGCCTAAAACAAAAATGTCAATGGTTTTACTAAACCAAGAGTTCAATTAATAAATCAAAACTGATGGTCAAATAAATGATCTGTGGGGTTTTCTGGCTACAATTCAGATAGACAAACAAAATGAGATGCTTCATTTTCTTGTTGAGAGTTTTGAGATTCAAGATCATAGCTGAAATGACAAAGGCACATGGTAGGATGGCTTGGTGCTGCCAATCAAGCTATATACTAAATAGCATCTCTTCTTATTCAGGCCCCATGTTAAAGTTTTCATAGCACCACACATTCTTGTTTGTGTTAGAATTCAGACTATGATCTGAATTATAACTTGCATTCTACAAATGATTTTGAATGAGTAAAGTTTTTCAGAGAGATTTGCAGAGTGAGAGAGAACTTTGAAGGAGAAACAAAGATGAGCTATTTCTTCATTGATCGGACACACAATCACTGTGCACACAACCGTTGGGAATAGAATATTCCCATTACATCATCCAAATCTAACCATTTAATCAACTACCCTATAAGATAGTGACAAGTGGAATAAGTTGACTCTTAACTCTAAGACTTCATCTTAGCTGTCCATTGGAATGTAATCCAATGGCTTACATTTGAAATACTAAAAATTAAACTAAGTACAAAAACATTTCAGCTAAGACACTTATATTTCAACAGTTTGTACAGCATTTAAAAGAAAATCTGACACAAGTTGGTTCCTTATCAAGCATGCATAATTTTATTGGATTGTTAATTCACATTTGGCTGTTCCCTCTTATCTAGCAAGGTAGGGAATGCTGTTTCTAAACAAGGATAGAATTTCTGCACAACCTTTCGACTATATATATATATACACACATGATCAGGCTTATCATCGGCAATTCAAGTCTTTACCTTCCCAAGAATCAAGGCTTTATCTATTTTCCTAGTCCTTTAATTTCTGTTTCTTGTTCTTCATCCTCTTGAGAATATAAAAGTCATGGGTTTCCAGTTGCCTGGAATTGTTAACGCCAAGAGAAGTCTCATTCGATCTCTATCTAGTTCAAGCTGGACAGCTGAATCAAAGACCTTGGATATCCCACGAGGCTATTTTGCAGTCTATGTTGGAGAGAGCCAGAAGAAGCGGTTTGTGATTCCAGTATCATATTTGAATGAACCTTTGTTTCTGGATTTGCTGAGTCAAGCTGAAGAAGAATTTGGATATGATCATCCCATGGGTGGTATCACAATCCCCTGCAGTGAAGACACTTTCCTTCATCTCACTTCCTGCTTAAGTGTGTGAATGTAAGCGAATGGATTGAAACCATCCAAACCATCGTCATTGAAGAACTCACTGACTCAAGCTGAAGAAGAGAATTTGGATATGATCATTTCCAAAGCATCCTCATTTCAGAATTCATCACTGAGTTAGGATGAAGAAAAGGCCACAGTTAATCATTCATTAAATCGACTCACATCTTGTGTTGAAGGCAAACCTTCGGCAATCCTAAAGCTGCTTGGATATGAGCAGAAACAGAGAAATTTTGAAGCATGCAAATGATGATATCATGTTTTGAACTTAAAGGCAGTCAAATTCTCTGTCTTTTAACCCTATGTAATCTTCTTGGTTGCTCTCCAGGAATATATGGTGATATATAATATACTTTAAATCCTTATCCATCCTTGTCTTATACTTTAATTACTTTGTTATCTTCTTGTAGCTCTGTTATATAGTGAATCACCAAATGGCAGCAGATTTGCACAAGAATTGAAGTATATAATTCGTTTGTTTTATAAGTAGTGGCTCAGAATGAATTCTTCTGGGTATTTCCCTATAAGATATCTGCAGATACAGTCATATTTATGACTTTTAAGCCTGTTTATATTTGTGTCTTCAGTTCACATTTTTTATTATTTATGGAGTACGTTCTTGTAACTCAAAAGTGTGAACTGAAGACACAAATATAAACAGGCTTAAAAGTCATAAATATGACTGTATCTGCAGATATCTTAAAGGGAAATACCCAGAAGAATTCATTCTGAGCCACTACTTATAAAACAAACGAATTATATACTTCAATTCTTGTGCAAATCTGCTGCCATTTGGTTATAGCAGTGGAAAATTTTGATTTTGAACCCCGGATAGAGGAAAATCAATATATCTTGCCAAGCACATATTGATGGTAGGACAAGTTGGAAGAACAATTCCTACTTCTTACACAGATGAGACTGGTTGCAGAACAAATAAAAATCTCTTAAAATAAATTATTTTTTTCATTTTTTCGTCAATAATAGATAGATTGATTAAAGTCTAATGGGAACATTAGTATCAGAAGCTAAAATATTAAACAACCAGTCCGGCATCCCTATTCCAGTGATAGGAACTGTTGTGCCGAGTAAAATAAGCTGCAATTGCATGTGCAGCATTGTTGCACCCTCGGCACGAACTTGAACATGATATTAATCAGTTGAGAGCTGAGGCAATTGATATCATGGATGACACCCTCCACTGAAGCATCTGTGATCTCACTAGTTTGGAGCATGTCAATTAACACCTTTGAGTCAGACTCCGCCTCCACCCGAATGTACCCATTTCAACACAACTTAAAACATTGCTCCTTGCACTGCCTCTCTGCCTCTATCACAAGACTAGAGATGCATGGAAAGCCGCCCACACCACCTGCAGCAATAAACCAGCCCACAGATGATCCAGCCAACCATCCATAGCCACCCTGAGACATGGTCGCTGACCAAGGGCCATCACAATTCACTTTAATGAATCGATGCGCTGGCTTATTCCAAGATTGAGCTCCATTTTATGCCCCATCTCCCATCACCGAAATCTCATGCAGCAAAACGGAATACAACCATTTCGCTCTCCATTGGCTTAGTTTTTTTTTATTCATAAAAAATCCAGTTACTTGATATGCAGGCCTAGTTTTTTAGGCAAGACAAAATGAAAAAAATTTATAATATGCTGCCCCCCTAGTTTACCAGGCTTTTGTTAGCTTAGTACATCAATTTGCCAGACAAACCCTTTTGAAGAGTACACATAAGTCTGCTATATTGTGTAATTTTAACTTTGAAGGGGGTTAATGTGGGAGCTATTTTCATCCCGCGGGAATATTCGTATAAGATTCTCCTTTCTTCTTCGCCGGACCACACTCGGGTGGTGTTGGCCAATGGCCCTCCGATGCCTAACTTACTTCAATTGATTCGTAGAGAAAACAATAGCTAAATAGGGTACGGAGATATATATGTAAGGTGTAAAGGCCGGATCCTTGTGTAAAAGGGAGAGAGAGTATGGCGGCTAGGGTTTGTGAGAGATAATTTCTGTAGAGTTTCAATAGGAATTTAGACGTACCTCAACCCTTGTGTGTAGCCATCTATTTATAGGGGCCTTGGAGGCTAGGGTTTCAGAGGAATAATTTCGTATATGGAAAGGAATTATTCCTCCCCGATTTGGCGAGATTGGATTAATTAGGGATTTGATTTAAATCAAATCCCTAATTATGGTAGAAATCAAATCAATCCCAATTTAATTGGGTAACTCCCAATTAAATTGAGTAACTCCCAATTAGGTCAAATAATCCCCAAATGGAAGGAAATATTTGACTTAAGGTTTTGATTTAATTTGGTTCCCACAGTTAATACAAACAAACCTTACTTCTCTCTGTTGTATTTTACCCCTTCATATTGCTTAAGTTTTATTAATAAGGTGTCATAAACAATCAAAAAATAAAATGGATGGTAAAAAAAGTGGCAGAAAAGAAAGTTACCAAGGTAATGGACTCTAAATAATTTCAGAATCGAAAGAGAGAAATTTTTCATTCAATGTTGTGAATTCTAGAATCGATCATCATGTACAGCCAACTAATTCTATTTGCAACTTTCTCAACTAGTCATAAAATTTGGATCCCTTTCTTCTTATGCTAAAATGCATAGATGCAAGAGAATGTATATGTCTTTACAAAATTGTTCAGATAATTTATAAGTGAACCATGAATCACAAACCATACAACCGAGAAGTGAGATCAACGAAGATTTCTTCTCTGCAAGGAATTGTGAATCCACGCATTGGATGGTCAAATCCAAATTCTTCCTCTGCCTTACTTAACAACTCTTGAAATGAAGGCTGACTCAATAATGAAATTGGAACCATGTGTCTCTTTTTTTCATTCTCTCCAACATACACTGCGAAGAAGCCTTTTGGAACACCTACTAAAGATGTTGAAGCTGCTCGGTTAGCAAACAAACTCCCCCGGCAGAGGATCTGCTTTGCTTGCATAATACTAGGCAATCTGATAGCCATGTTTAAAAGTCTAAGTTATCACTTGAGAATAGGTTGAAGTTAAAAAATGACTTGGAGAACAGATTTTGGAAAGTCTGGTTTTCTTGATTATTTTATGATCTGTCATATATATAGATGAAAAGGTCTATAGGAAAATACTGAATGTGGAGACAACTGTGTGGAAGCAAATAGGTTGGGGTTGGCAAGTGACATAAGCATTTGAAAGATCACATGCCTCTGTCTTCCAAGTTCCATCTCAATCTCAACAACTTGGTAGCTATATATTGTTTGAATCTGTATATTTGTTGGCGAACATTATGCCCCCAACCATTTCTATGACAACCTACAAACATGGATGCCCACTTGAAGTTTTAGAGATTTGTGGATACGAAAAGATACTTGTTGATTTGTGGACGGGATTCAGATAAATATGTTTATAGTTTCTTGACAGCAACTAATTAGCACTCTCGAGACCACATTAATCTTGATACAACATGCTTTTTAGTTATGTACCCATTACCTACTGCGTGCTAAAAAAAGTACCAATTCTTCAACCAAATGAAAGATTTCTCTTGCTTGTTGAGTCTGAAGATCATAGATGAAAGGACAGAGCCACATGCTAGGGTGGTTTGGTGCTCCCAACCAACCAAACTATAGAGCATCCCGGGGTCCATGTAAATTCTCATAACACCACAAATTCTTGTCTTTTGAAGCAGCATTTATAAAAAGATGAAAAAGAAAGAGACTACTAATTTATCACACAAGCTAACAAGTTTTCGTTGTAGGGCATACTATATGCGGTATTATTAACCGGAGGAGCATCCAACTAAATGAATTCATTTTTCAAGAACATGGTGGTCCCTTTTGTTGTCTGTTAACCAGAGGAGCTAGCTAGGTAGGGAATCCTGTTTCTACACAACGATAGAGTTTGATCATTTTCATGAGATATCTCTTGCAGAAGGGTTACACGAGCACGAAAACAAACCCATGTGATTTGGTACAAGCTAGTGGCCCTCATTGCTTCTCCTCTCAGTGCCCCTTCAGTACCAATCATTTCATGTACCTGATGATTTTCTGCATACCTTTCATCTATATATATACTATGCTTGGGTTCATCATGAGCAACTCAAGTATTATCCTTCCCACGCACCAAAGCTCTCTCTGTTTTTTCCAAGTCCTTGCCAATCTTTTTCTTGTTGGTTTGTCCTCTTGAGAATACTAAATCATGGGTTTCCAGTTGCCTGGAATTGTTAACGCCAAGAGAAGTCTCATTCGATCTCTATCTAGTTCAAGTCAGACAGCTGATTCAAAGACCTTAGATATCCCAAAAGGCTATTTTGCAGTCTATGTTGGGGAGAGCCAAAAGAAGCGGTTTTTGATTCCAATATCTTATTTGAATAAGCCTTTGTTCCTGGATTTGCTGAGTCAAGCTGAAGAAGAATTTGGATATGATCATCCCATGGGTGGTATCACAATCCCCTGCAGTGAAGACACCTTCCTTCATCTCACTTCCCACTTAAGTGTATGAGTGAACACTAAAGAAAAGAAACTATGATCCAAATTCATTCATGTATAAGCATCCTCATTTCAGAACTCACTGAGTAATGATGAGGATGGGACTATTCTTGATCACCCACTGAGTCGACTTACATCTTGTGTTGAGAGGAAGCAATCTGTAAGCCTGAAGCTGCTTGTGATCTGAGCATAAAGTTGAAAAGTTCATGAATCCGACAAACGAAGATATGATGGACATCGAAAAACGTTAGTCCAAAATCATGATCGAAATTTTGAACTATTGTTCTTGAGAGTACATTCGGAACTTAAAGCCGTGCATTGTAGTATAAAAGATCTTGGGCCTCTCCACATTTGGGTTGGATGCTATGATCTTTTCATATGTAACCTTTGTTACTCTCCAGGAAAATATATTGGAACGTAAGTTTAAATCCTGATCCACTTTCTTGTCTTATTTTTCATTGTACTTGTAGCTCTGTCATAAAATAAAATCATCAATGACAGAAAGTATAATGGTTTACCTGTATGACTGTGTCTGATAATTTAATAATATATTAACTTATTAAGCACAGTATGCTTAACATCTCTCAATGGAGAGTCATCTGAGCCGAACCACTAAGTTTCTTTCATTAAAAAATGGCACAATATATATATCCACGACTTTCCCTAGCTAGAGATTGCAAGCCAAGTTTAAATGGCTCCTTGAAATCATGTAAATTTTTTTTTTCTGCAAGGCTCCTTGAAATATCCAAACAAAGGTAAAATGCAAGATTCTAATTTTCTATTAATCCTCTAAGATATCTTCAGTTGTTGCCATAAGCAAAGGCAAGAAGAGATTATCAACCTAGCTTCTCCTTCTCTCTAGAAGTTTCTAGATTTCTCTAGTAGGCTTTTCGCCGAACTTGCCTAAAACAAGACTGGCAATGGTTTTGCTAAACAAGACTGGTAATGGAAAATGGTTTTTTAAAAATTGAGTTTAGACCGAGTAGCTTAAGTTCTATTTATTAACTTCAGTTTTCTTGATCAAGTACTGTCAACTATTTAAATCAATACTGTTTTCTGGTTAAGTCCAGATTGGCCTAACAAAATGAAATAAATACCTCCTTTGTTTGCTGAGACTGAAGATCAGAGACGAAACTACAAAGCCACATGATAGGGTGCCTTGCTGGTCCCAAGCAAGCTATTTTGCACCACACAACACAATTGTATCAGTGTTGGGTAGGACCACAACATATGCAGTGTTGTTGTTTTTTGATGAAGTGGGAGGGCAATTCATTAGCAGACCTATTCAAGAAACTTTGTAGTAAAATAGTCGGACTATGTGGTCAGTTGAATTAGTGTGAACAAAGAGAAGTGCATGTCTCAAGCATAAATGCTACTTACCTAACAGACATAATTCTTTTGGATTGAATCACCTCTGGTGGTCCTTTTGTTGTCTGTTACCTAGAGGAGGTAGGGAAGAGTTCCGTGAGAAATCTTTCGAGGATGTGTTGCGTGAGAAGGACGACAAGCCCATTTGATTTCTCACAATCAAGTGTCCCTCATTGGAGCCCATCTCAGACCAATCGTTTCATGTAGCTGTTGATTTCCTGGATACCCTTGATCTATATATACACATGACCAAGTTCATCATGAGCAACTCAAGTCTTCACCTTCTCAAGCATCAAAGCTTTCTCTGCTTTCCAAATCCAAGTCCTTTGAATTCCCTCTCTTCTTTTGTCCTTTGAGAATATATAAGACCATGGGTTTCCGGTTGCCTGCAATTGTTAACGCAAAGAGAAGTCTCATTCGATCTCTATCTAGTTCAAGCCAGACAGCAGATTCAAAGACCTTAGATATCCCAAAAGGCTACTTTGCAGTCTATGTTGGGGAGAGCCAGAAGAAGCGGTTTGTGATTCCAATATCATATTTGAATGAGCCTTTATTCCTGGATTTGCTGAGTCAAGTTGAAGAAGAATTCGGATATGATCATCCCATGGGAGGTATCACAATCCCCTGCAGTGAAAACACCTTCCTTGATGTCATTTCCCGCTTAAGTGTGTAAGTGTACACGAATCAGTCATCCAATCCATCCGAACCATCCTCATTTCAGAGCTCACTGAGCCAAGATGAAAGAATTTGGATATGATCATATCCAAAGCATCCACATTTCAGAACTCACTGAGTTGGGATGAAGAAGAGGCTACCACTGCTCACCCATGGAATCAACTCACATCTTATGGTGAAAGCAAATCTTCTCAAATCCTGAAGCTGCTTCTAGGCTGAGCAGAAACATAGAAATTTATGAAGCAGACAAGTGATGATGAACTCCCTAGAACCATTGGTCCAAATATCATCCCCCCACCCAAAGGCAGTCAAATTCTGTCTTTTAAACCTATGTAAACTTCTTTGTTGTTCTCCAGGAGCAATATACAATCTATTTGAAATCCTCACCCTTTCTTGTCTTATGCTTTGCATTATAGTATTATCTTCTTATAGCTCTTGTTATATAGTTAATCCCCAAGTGGTAGCAGATTTGCACGAGAATTTGACTAAAATGCACCATATAACTTTTTACATGGTTCCTCATACAAATTGGGGAAATATCATGCCCATTTCAGTGGCATTTTTAATGCTTGATTGATCCTACGTTATCAAATTTTGATGAAACACATTCTCGCAAATCAACTCCTGACACAAATATTTGTTTCATAACAATATGCTAGCAACTAGTACGTTGACAATATGCTATTACCTTAATTTTCTCTTGCCAAAGTCTATTTGCATAATTGCAGCTTGGTTCCTTTTTGTTTTTGGGTGGTGCCTAAAGATAGCATGATCTCATATCCCTATTTCCCGAGGACAACATTCCAGTTTGCATAAACTAGATTTTTGAAAACCCTTAGAAAAACAAATTATCTGAGGGAAAAAAAACCTCAATGTATTATTGATAGGTGCATGACAAGATTTTTTATTTTTGACAAACTACAAAATATTTACATACCGTTATAAAGATATATTAGAGTCAGCAACTTGTCTAGCTTCCTGTCCTAGCAAGGACTTCAGATTAGTTAAAACTAAAACACAATCCAACAAATATGAAGTCTCAATCATTGGCAAATTCTTGGTGATGTGGAAGACAGAACCATGTGATCCTTCATATGCATATGTCTCTCCATTCATCCCCACCACACCATATAACCTCTACACCACATACTGCAGATTTAATGGATTTTCCAATCTAGCATTCATCTCCAAATAAATGTTGATTGGACCTGAATTTATAGAGGCCCGATGAATGGCCCGGTAAATGGGTTTCTGGAGCAACAAATTAGAAGCCCAATAGCATTCATAGTCCAGCAAGGAAGATCATAATCAAGTAGAAGGCAGCGACTCCTTTTTACTTGATATATATTTTGGAGCAGGATCAGTCTTCTACATCAATTTGTGCTGGTGCTTTCTTACATCTTCGCTAGATTTCTCTAACTTCATTTCCATTTCATTCAGTACTTTCATTCACAAAGAATTCAAGTCTTATTACTTGTAAGTCAAGAAAAGAACTTATACCAAATTACCTCCCACTTGATTTACGGTGGCTTGGTTAGAAGTTAGATTTCTTGGTCCACAAGCAGTCTCAAATTCACTCATCATCCTTACAGTGCCAGTGACACCCTAGCGCCATTCAGTGTAAGATCAACTAGAAAGCTAAATCAAGTTCTCACATTGTCCAGTAGAAAAATCTTCTCAGCAATCCCACAATTATAAGTACTGACAAAAATTATCAAATTTCATTATTATTCTATGAACCATTGTGTATATTTTCTATTTTCCCTTTTCCTCGGAGATGTACATCTCTGCCTTTAATTTTATTTTTTAAATCTTAAGGTCCATAAAAACTCAAAAATTCTAAAACTAGCAATAATTGAAAAATTGATAAAGTGAATGAGGAATTATTCACTAGTTTGAGAAACTATATTTCATATCTAACATACCTGTAACTTTCGTTTTAAGTTTGATTATGCAATTGAATTATTTAGTGGCGCAAAAACTGGTACTAATATCCCCAAAATCCAAAATCCAATTTTGGAAAACAAAAAACATCACTTCCCTTCACCAACCTATCACGGTTTTGGATTCTTTTCTGTTCATAGGTGTCAGATGTAACCGGCCGGTTTCTCTTTATCTCTCTCATCGTGTTCATCACGTGAACTGATAAAAGAAATGGTTTAATAGGTACATCAAGACTTTATTTTACGACGTGTGGGAAGCATGCAAGAATACCAACCGAGTTTTCCTTATCGCTTCCTCATGAAAATTGCCAAAACATGTGGTGAAACAACTACGATGGCACACAGATTCCTCACTGTATGGAAACCATGGGCACTATAGGTTATTTTTTGAAGTTATGTACCCTTGGCTTCCCTATAAATAAAGGGCTCTAAACCTTGAGAGCATAATACACTCTTAGAATTGGCTGACTTGAAATGGGAGATAGGCCTCCCAGAGGCCAATGGAGATGTGTGGCTGGGAAGGATCCTCATATTTTCTCTACATTTTCTTAATTGAAAACTAAGGAGGTGACATAATAGGGGCTCCCTCCCATGCCACACATTTCTATTGTTTCTGGGATTCTCTCCCTTTTCCTTTCTTGCCGGCGGGTTGAAATTTCAATCTCTAACTGTTCCATAACTATATATGTAGGTATTTCTAATTTTTTTCCATTCATTTGTTATAATCAATTTGTCAAGATATATTTCCTAATCACAAAGTATTTCACTACCAATAATGACACTCAATTTTAGCCTCATGCACTCCGAATTGGATATTTCCAGTGATAGGGCAAAGTGTAGGAAGTTAAAACCGAAGCCTTTTTGGTAGTAACATTTTGGATCTACTAGGTGTACGAAACTGACCTTACTTTCAGCTATAAATTTTACTTTGGTGGAAATAATGGTGAAAGCAATAGGAAGCAACATCTTTATAGATCACAAATTGCTTGTCCATTAAACTTGTAATCTACAATTTTTTTAAAGGACAGCCCACTTTGTCAAGCAATTTTGACGATGTTTCATTTGTACTCTTATTCATTACAATAAGCAAAAAAGAAAAAGTAAAACTGTAATTAATTAGCAATCATTTTTGACAAAAAAATAATTTAAATAAAAAACCCTCCCAACGGTTGAAAAGATAGAAAAAGGATCTAAAAGATGACAACAACCAATTTGGAATCTCATTTGTTCAATTTTTAATGTACTTATACGAGGGAAGAAATATGTTGGAAAAACAATTTTTCATATCCATTAAGTCTTCTTGTTTTCTTTTTATGCAATTGAACTATTTAGTGTTGACTAATAGGGTGTTAGGTGGATTTTCCCAGGCTTTAATTTGGTGTGCTCTCAAGAGGTCTTGGGTTCAAGCTCCCATGGTACCCGTTTGTGTGAGTTTCCACTCCCCGCTTCCTAATTTTGGCACCAAAGAAGGGAGACTAGGTAGAGGCTACGATGCTGGAAGGTGTGGGCTGCAGAAAGATAAGCTTGGGCCAGAGAAGATGATAGGCAAGTCCGACGACAGAGAATGGTCTGGAGTAGGAGCAACATGGGCCTTGTTAAACGAAAAAGAAAATTCATCAAATAACACATGACGTGATAAAAAAAACACGATTAGAAACAAGATCCAAGCATCGATAACCTTGATGGTTCAAAGAATAACCAAGTAACACACATTTGGAAGACCGAAATTGTAATTTATTATTATTATTATATGGTCGTAAATAAGGAAAACATGCACATCCAAAAGTTTTTTGAAAATGAATAATTAGGTTCTTTGTGAAACAATAATTCATAGGGTGATTTATACTAAAGCAACTTAGAAGAAAGACGGTTAATTAAATAAACAGCAGTATGCATGGCCTCGGCCCAATAGGAAGGAGGCATAAAGGAATGGGCTAAAAGAGTGAGCCCGGTGTCAACAATGTGACGATGTTTACGTTCGGCTAAACCATTTTACTCAGGATGATGTGGGCAAGAAAGACGATGATGAATGCCAAGATGACATAAAAAATCCTTAAATTGATGACTAGTGTATTCCCCACCCCCATATGATTGAAATGCCTTAATCGTAGTGGAAAACATATTTTCAACCAAAGCCTTAAATTTAATGAAGTGAGAGAAAACTTCTGATTTCAATTTCATCAGAAAAATCCAAGAATAATGAAAAAAATCATCAATAAATAAAACATAATAATTAAAATCAGCAATAGATTTATTTGAAGAACTCCATACATCAGAGTGAATAAGTTTCAAAGGAGAAGAAGGGACATAAAAAGGACTAAAGGGTAATTTAACACTTTTACCCAACGTACATGATTGACAAAAAGAACTAGATAGAGCCAGAAGATGGCAGTTTATTATAAGATAACAAAAATTGCAAAGTAGACAAAGCAGGATGACCAAGGCGAGAGTGCCACACAGAGCGGTCAACACAAACACCTAGTAAAGCAACACGATCACGCAAAACTTGAAAAAACTCATTCGGTGTAAACGAAAAGGGATATGGGCCATTGCTACTCTTGCCCAAGAAAAGTGTCTTCCTCGTCGCCAAATCCTGGATAAAATAACAATTAGGAAAAAAAGTGAAGAAACAATGGTTGTTAGTAGGAAATTTATGAACAGATAAGAGAGGAAGAGATACACCGGGACAGTGAAGAATATCATTAAGATGAAAAGAAGAATTAAGGTGAGAGAAACGAGAGTGACCAATATTTTTAATAGGCAAACCTGTTCCACCAAGCACACCTCCAATATTGTCAGAACCGTGGTATTGTCTAGCAAGGGATAAGAGGCTCAGGTCATTGGTAATATGAGTGCTTGCACCGGTATCAGCAACCCACTGTTGATGGCCACCATGCGAAGAATATTGAACAATCATGTCTTGAAGATGAGACGGAAGAGAAGGCACAAAAGACGTCTTGGAGGGACAGACAGCTACGATGTGACCAAAACCATGACAATTGAAACATTGAATAGGCCCATGGGCAGAATGAGGCCCAAAAGAGGAAGCAGTAAAACCAGAAGGAGGTGGGCCAAGAACACTCGGCTCAAAATTGCTACCAAAATGTTGTTGATGTGAGGCAGGACTAGAGGCGCCATAGGAAGCGCCAGGGAAACCGCGACCAGAAGTAAAAACAGGTCATGAGGGAGAGAATGGGTTGCGAAGATCGGGACCACGACCAGAAACCCAGAGCGATCGCCAGAACCGCGGCCAACGAGACCACCATGGGAAGTTCCATAGCCGTCGCACTAGAATAGATGACCAGAGAAGAAGATAATTACAGGCGACGTTCTGCAAACAATAGGAGAGCATCAAGATCATGCATATTGATGGGTTTCTCACGAGCTTGAGTAGCGGCAACGACATTTTCATAAAGAGGACAAACGTTGTTCATAACCACAGTAAGGAGATCAGAGTCAGCAACTGAAGCACCTGCCAAAACCAAGTTATCGTCAATTAAGTTAATACGATCAAGGAAATCAGTAATGGAAGATTCACCACGGGTTGTGCGAAGCAAGTCACTTTGAAGTTGAAGAAGACGATTTTGATTCGGAGAAACAAAACGAGTTTCAAGGGCTACCCAAGTGTCACAAGCGGTGGTCTTGGAACCTACGGTGGTGAGAACTTCATGGTGAAGGGAACCGTTGATGAGAGAGAAAACAAGTTGATATTTCTGGACCCAATCATCATACTCTGGGTTGGGGAGGAGAGACAGAAAAGCAGATTCATCGGCCTTAGCATTTGGGTTAGGAATGGTCGGAGGACACAGAGAAGTGCCGTCAACAAAGCTGAGCAAGCGACGGCTGTGAAGGATAGGAACAATTTGAGAAGCCACGTCGGATAATTATCATGCTTGAGATGAATGAAGATAACATGATGAATTCTAGGAAAATCAATAGAGGAGGAAGAAAAAAAAAGAAAAAAAAAAGAAAACAGAAAATTGAGGATCGAGGACTGATGAGGTCTCAGGCTCTTGATACCATGAAAGGTTTTGAATATTCTCGATGATTTTCATTGAACAATCATGTGATAATTATATACAATGCTTTGCCTGGTGTCTACACAAAGGATTTCCTATTCTAGGCAAGAATCAAGTCCTTGAGAGACAATGAATATATACAGCAAATCTATGAAATAAATACAAATAAAACAGGAAACTAAATCATTTTAGGATCATGTCTCATTAGATTTCATGTTTGTAAAGACTCAGGATTTCAATTGTTTATGGGATCATCTGTGTGTATGTGTGTGTCTACGTATAGATAAAAGGGTGTGTAGAGGAAAATATATGAAATGTGGACAATTGGGTGGGGATTGGAAAGAGTCATAAGAATTTGAGGGATCACATGGTCTGTTTTCCATCTCAGTCTCAAGAACTTGGTAGTTATTAAGCCTGTATGTTTGTTGGAGAACATATGCCCAACAATTTTTTTTGTGACACCTACAAACTCTTTATATGTGGATGGAAAAGACTTCTTTGAAGTACAAAACAGCGTTAAGACATATCTGTCCATAGTCTCTTGACAGGAACAGATTAGCAATCTTTAGACCACAACAAATTACTCAATGAAATAAGACGTGGGGAATGATGTTTGTACATAGGGATACAGTTTGGTCATTTGCATGTGGAGATGATTTATGTGAGTGGGAAGACAACCCATGTTATGTTTTGATTTCTCACAAGCTATTATCCTTCACTGGAGCAAATCTCTGCGCCTTGAGACCACTCATTTAATGTAGAAGGCCATACTCTTTCATCTATATATACACAAGAGATCAGGTTCATAACCAACAACTCAAGTCTCTCTCCTTGCCAAGCATCAAAGTCTTCTCTGTTTCCCAAGTCCTCTGAATTCTTTCTTGTTCAAATTTTCCACTTGAGAATATAAAAACCATGGGATTCCGATTGCCAGGAATTGTTAACTCCAAGAAGGGTCTAAACAAGGCTGCTACTTCAAAGACCATAGACATCCCAAAAGGCTACTTTGCAGTGTATGTTGGGGGGAGCCAGAAGAAGCGATTTGTGGTTCCAATATCATACTTGAATGAGCCTTTGTTCTTGGATTTGCTAAGTCAAGCAGAAGAAGAATTTGGATATGATCATCCAATGGGTGGTATCACAATCCCCTGCAGTGATGAAACCTTCATTCATCTCACTTCCCGCTTAAGTGTATGAATGAACGCAAATGAGAAGTGAATCTGGTTCATATTCAAATCAGCCTCAGTTTGATCAGAAGAACTCGCCTTGTCAAGATGAAGTAGAGGCTGTGATTGATCATATGCACATTTTCCTGTTGCTTATGAATCTGGGAAGCCTTCTTTGATGGTCAAAGTGCTTGTGAGCATGAGCACGAAGATACAAAATTTGTGAAGCAGTCGAATGACAATATCATGAACTCTCGAAGACTATTGAGCCCAAAATCATAACTCCAATTTTGAACTCGATGACAACAATATTTGTCTTTTAAGCCATGTACAATTCTAAATGTTTTGTTCTCCAGGAAACATGAGAAAATATAATGATATATTTTGATTCCTCATCCACTTTATTGTCTCATTTTTCAGTAAGTTATTATCTAATTGTAGCTTGTTGCTTCATACAAAAATAGAATCTGGAAGTAGACCAAATTTGAACATCTCACAATCTCAAAGTTGAAGATGGCCAAATATTCTGATTTTCTGCCCAATATAATGTTAAAGATGGCTTATATCAGAAGTAATTGGACAAGATTGCTTGGAAATTCCAAATATTGGAACTTTTATACTAAATGTCTCACTTGTATGGGTTGGATATTATCCAAATAAAGGTTATCCATCTAAATTCAATTCTAAGTGAGAACATTAAACATGGAAAAGATCAATTAGAGGATCAAAAGTACAAATATGTTTCAGTCCCTAGTAGTTCACACTTAACCGATCTCAATAGACGGGCAAAGATAGAAAGATTCTCTAAATGTTGTCAGTTTATTTAATCACGTATTTAGGCTTGATAGAACCCAATGGCAGCGGCAATGACAATCCCAATAGATTAAGTAGTTCTTCCAGAGGAATCCTATTTTTCTTGTCCTAATCCATTGTATTATGCAAGAAGGCTAAGCACTGCTTTCCATGATTACTAGTACAGAATCCAGTCCAAGGTCACCATCAGTGATCTAACTGTACTGAAGCAGAGTGAGAATGAGCCAGCTCAGGACTTTATTACTAGGTTTAGAAAGCTGAAAATGAAGTTCAGAATTCCTATATATGAGAGGCACTTTATCCAGATGGCACACACATCATTGAGGATCTCCTTGAGAAAAAGGTTCAATGGAATAATATTTGGAGACTTAGCAGAACTGGCAGATAAGGTCACCAAATATGAAGAATTATAGAAGGAAGAACAACAGAAGAGGAATGCTTCTAAAGGTACATACTACAAGACCTCTTCATCTTCAGTACATTTGGTGGAGGTAGAATAAGAAGAGGAGCTAGAACCAGAGGAAACTATGGCAGTGGTGCATAATTGGCTAAAATAAAGGGCCAATAAGTTGTAAAGCTTTGCTAAAGGCACCAAAGGATCAAAAACCACCACCCTTCACTGGAGGTTTCATTTCAAATAAACAACAAACAAACAAGGTTTATTCTTTTGATTTATCAAAGTTAGACGCTTTATTTGATGAAATGTTATTATCTCAGAAGGCCATAGATACACCACCTAGATACAATTTCATGACAATATGCTAGCAACTAGCAAGTAGGCTGGTACATTGACAATATGCTATTACCTTAATCTTCTCTTGCGAAAGTCTATTTGAATAATTGCAGAGCTCTTGTTTCTATTTTTGTTTTTGGGTGGTGCCTAAAGATAGCATGATCTCATATCCCTTTTCTCCGAGGACAATATTCCAGCTTGCATAAACTTGTGTAGGTAGGGTCTAGGGCCGAAGGGGTTCTTATTTTAATGAATGCCAAAGAAAGAAAGAAGAGAGGTCTGCATGAGCTATTAACAGGATTTTTGAAAACTCATAGAAAAACAAATTATCTGAGGGGGAAAAAAAACCACAAAATATTTTTTATTTTTGATAAACCGCAAAATATTTACAAACATACTGTCATAAGATATATTAAAACTGATACACAATCCAACAAATATATAGTCTCAATCATTGCCAAATTCTTGATGATGTGGAAGACAGAACCATGTGATCCTTCATATGCATATGTTTCCCCATTCATCCCCACCATATATCCTCTACACCACATACTGCAGATTTCATGGTTTTTCCAATCTAGCATTCATCTCCATATAAATGTCAATTGGACCTGAATTTATAGAGGCCCGATGAATGGCCAGAAAGGAAGATCATAATGAAGTTGCAGGCAGTGACTCCATTTTACTTTAGATGTCTCTCTACATCAATTTGTACTGGTGATTTCTTTACATCTTCGATAGATGTTTCTAATTTCATTTCCATTTTATTCAGTACAAAGAATTCAAATCTTATTACTTGTAAGTCAAGAAAAGAACTTATACCAAACTTGTTAGATTTCTTGGTCCACAAGCGTTCTCAACTTTACTCATTATATATCTTTACAGTACTAGTGACACCCTAGAGCCATTCAGTGTAAGATCAACTAGATAGCTAAGTCAAGTTCTCACATTGTCCACTAGAAAAATCTTCTCAGCAACCCCACAATGATAAGTTTAACAAAAATGATCAAATTTCATTATTATTCTATGAACCATTGTGTATATTTTATATTTTCCCTTTTCCTCTGTGATACATCTCTGCCTTTATTTTGATTTTTTTAATCTTAAAAAAATCTAAATTAGGTCCATAGAAACTCAAAAATTCTCAATCTAGTAATAATTGAAAATTTGAACACAATGAATGAGGAATTATTCACTAGTTAAGAAACTAGATTTCATATCTAACATACCTGTAACTTTCATTTTAAGTTTCATGCAATTTAATTATTTATTGGAGCAAAAACTGGTACTAATATCCCCAAAATCCAAAATCCAATTTTGGAAAACAAAAAACATAACTTCCTCGCCAACCTATCATGGTTTTGGATTCTTTTTTTCTATTCATAGGTGTCAGATATAACCGATTTCTCTTTATCTCTCTCATCGCGTTCATCATGTGAACTGATAAAAGAAATGGTTTAATAGGTACATCACGACTGTATTTTACCACGCGTGGAAAGCATGCAAGAATGCCAACCCAATTGTCTTTATCCTTCCTCATGAAAATTGCCAAAACATGTGGTTAAACAACTACAGTTGCACACTAATTCCTCACCATATGGAAACCATGGGCGCTATAGGTTGTTTTCTTGAACTTATGTACCCTTGGCTTCCCTATAAAAAAAAAGGTCTCTAAATCTTGAGAGCATAACAAACTCTTAGAATTGGCTGACTTGAAATGGGAGACAGGCATCCCAGAGGCCAATGGAGATGGGTGGCTGGGAAGGATATCCTCATAATTTCTCTACATTTTCTTAATTGAAAACTAAGGAGGTGACATAATAGGGGCTCCCTCCCATGCCACCCATTTCTATTGTTTCTGGGTTTCTCTCCCTTTTCCTTTCTTGCTAGCAGGTTGAAATTTCAATCTTTGCGTGTTCCATAACTATATATGCAGGTATTTCTAATTTTTTCCATTCATTTGTTATAATCTATTTGTCAAGATATATTTCCTAATCACAAAGTATTTAACTACTAATAATGACACTCAATTTTAGCCTCATGCACTCCGAATTGGATATTTCTAGTGATAGGACATAGTGTGGGAAGTTAAAACTAGTGTTTTCAAAGGCATGCCTTCGCGCGTGTCGGAGTGCGCGTCGGTGAGAGGCGGGAGGAAAACGCCCGAGGCGGTCGGCTGTTTCGCAGGTTGCACACGTTTAGCGCTAGGAAGGCGGGAGAAGGCGTTGCAAGGCATACCAGATCTAAAAACTTCTGAACCGGAAGAAATTTGAGTCTGCAAATTTTCTGCGAGGAAGACGACCTCGCGAAGAAGACGACTCGATTTTTTTTTTTAGGTTTGTAATGAAACGACGTCGTTTTGATTGCAGTGTTTTAAAAACAATCTTACAGTGAAACGACGTCGTTTCACTTGGAGTATGTTGAAAAAATAAAAAACACAAGTTTCGGATTTTTTTTTCCTTACCTTTGTTGTAAACCTTTAAGGCAAGAATTAATATCATTTTTTCTTTTTTTCCTAACTCCAACTGGCTGTAGCTTTTGTACTTTTTTTTTTTTTTTTTTTTTTTTTTTTTTTTTTTTTAATATAATATAACACATGGACTATATATATATATATATATTGTATAGTATGTGTACAACCCTAATTTCTACCCTTACCCAAGTAACTCCATCAATTTCAAGAATTCTCTTCATCTTTCGACTGCAAGTAAGTCTTTTTTTGTTTTTTTATTTTTATTTTTTACGTACATGCATCATACTTGTATAATTTGACTGTAATAAACTGTAATTTGAAGTTTGATCATATAATTGTTTTCAATTTCTTTTTTATAAATATACTAGTTATCTTATTCGTTTATTTGATATAGTAGAAATTTGATGTACATGCATCACACTTGTATCTTAGAAATATTAATGGTATTGTTTTATAGAATTTTATGTTTTGGGATTGATTATTATGTTTTGAATGACAATTAGTACTTATATTTGATTATATTTAAAAGATTGTTATGGTTGAATAAGAATTACTTGCAAAATTTAATCGTATTGTATTATTCATAAATTTTTCTTATTAAAATAACTTAATGTTCAAAAGGTTTATGCCTCAATGCTTCAAGGCTTATGCCTTGCATAGCGCTACTAAAAACGCATCGCCTATACGCTTCGCCTTTGAAAACATTGGTTAAAACTGAAGCCTTTTGATAGCAACATTTTAGAACTACTAGGTGTACGAAACTGACCTAACTTATTCTTACCGATGCATATTACATGGTTCATGTATTCATTAAACTTGTAATCTACATTTTTTTTTAAAATCCTCCCAACTGTTGACAACAACCAATTTGGAATCTCATTTGTTCACTTTTTAATGTGCTTATACCAGGGAGACACGAGGGCAGGGGGTCCCGGAGCAAAATAAGGGAACTCTTTCGCTTCTCTAATTCTTGCTTGTTACTTTTGTTGTCAAATTTGATGTGATCTATGCTTGTTCAACCTTCTTTCCATGTGGGACTCTAGCATCTGAATTTTAAGAGTCAGTGCTAGCTCTATATTCTTCCCATGCCTGTTGAAGTTGTACGCGGCATGTACGTATGCCCTTGATCAAGATAGATCGTGCTTTGCGCTCAGATACAAATACAAGATAAAACAGAAGACTCATCATAAATTAAATATTAGGTTGTGAGCTATATTAGTTCAGTCACAAAATCTGTTAATAACTGTTAGCACATGAGAGCTACATAAGAACTCCTTTCTATTGTAATCAGGAATCAGTTTCGTTTCTCTCTAAAACCCAAAAAGATTTTAGAAAAACACAAACAGTAAATTTCATGTTTGTAAAGACTGAGGATCATCAGTGTGTATTTGTGTGTGTATATATATAGATGAAAGGGTGTGTAGAGGAAAATATCTGAAATGTGGACAGAGTTTAATGGAGACAATTGGGTGGGGATTGGAAAGGGGCATAAGCATTTGAGGGTCACATGGTATGTTTTCTATCTCTATCTCAAGAACTTGGTTGTTATTAAGTCTGTATGTTTGTTGGAGAACATGATGCCCAACAATTGTTTGGACACCTACAAACTTTTTATATGTTGATAGAAAAGACTTCTTTGAAGTACAAAACAGGCTTCCGACATATCTGTCCACAGATTAGCAATGTTTAGACCACTTCAATCTTGTAATTATATATTACTTACATATGTATGCATTACCTGCTAAGTGTCCAATAATCAATCTCTAGACCAAATTACTAGATGAAATAAGACGTAGGGAACGGTGTTTGTACATAGGGATAGAGTTTGGTCATTTGCATGTGGAGATGATTTATGTGAGCAGGAAGACAACCCATGTTATGTTTTGATTTCTCACAAGCTAGTATCCTTCAATGGAGCCCATCTCTGCTCCTCGAGACCGCTCATTTCATGTAGCAGGCCATACTCTTTCATCTATATATACACAAGAGATCAGGTTCATAACCAGCAACTCAAGTCTCTCTCCTTGCCAAGCATCAAAGTCTTCTCTGTTTCCCAAGTCCTCTGAATTCTTTTTCTTGTTCTAATTTTCCACTTGAGAATATAAAAACCATGGGATTCCGGTTGCCAGGAATTGTTAACTCCAAGAAGGGTCTAAACAAGGCTGCTACTTCAAAGACCTTAGACATCCCAAAAGGCTATTTTGCTGTGTATGTTGGGGAGAGCCAGAAGAAGCGATTTGTGGTTCCAATATCATACTTGAATGAGCCTTTGTTCTTGGATTTGCTGAGTCAAGCAGAAGAAGAATTTGGATACGATCATCCAATGGGCGGTATCACAATCCCCTGCAGTGATGAAACCTTCATTCATCTCACTTCCAGCTTAAGTGTGTGAATGAAGGCAAATGAAGTGAATATGGTTCATATACAAATCAGCCTCAGTTCGATCAGAAAAACTCGCCATGTCAAGATGAAGTAGAGGCTGTGATTGATCATATGCACATTTTTCTGTTGCTTATGAATCTGGGAAGCCTTCTTTGATGGTCAAACTGCTTGCGAGCTGAGCACGAAGATACGAAATTTGTGAAGCAGTCGAATGACGATAGCATGAACTCTTGAAGACTATTTAGCCCAAAATCATAACTCCAATTTTGAACTCGATGACAAGAAGATTTGTCTTTTAAGCATGTATAATTCTAGATGTTTTATTCTCCAGGAAACATGGGAAAATATAATATATTTTGATTCCTCATACTTTATTGTCTCATTTTTCAGTAAGTTATTATCTAATTGTAGCTTGTTCCCAATAATTTATTAGATGCAGATACAGCAAAATATTCTGAAATAGTTGTATCCAGTGGTTGGACAATAGGGTAAAATATTGGGAATGTTGTAGACAAGATTGCTTGGAAATTCCAAATATTGGAACTTTACTAAATGTCTGACCTGTATTGGTTGGACACTGGTAGTTCACACTTAACAGGCAAAGATAGAATCCAATGGCAGCTGCAATAACAATCCCAATAGTTTCTCAGTCCCTGGTAGCCACATTTTATTGGTAGCTTACTTTCCCAATAAAATATCCTATACTGATACAGCCATACACTGATTATTTTTACCTCTATTGCTTGCCTAAATTTGGTTAGCATATATGAATTTATCTGGTGTTTCAATCATAAATGAAACAAAAAAAAAAAAAAAAAAAAAAAAAAAAAAAGAACATTGACGCATGAAAAGACAGAACACGAAACATTGACAGAGAAATAAAGGATCCAACATTAAACAAACCAACAGAGAAGAATAACATAAAAACAAACAACAGAAAAACCACAGCAGGTACCACAGACAAATCCTAGACCCCATAACCTCTTATATATGGAGACCCAATAAAAGTAGCCCGAGCAAATTTTACTGATCGACAAACGGACATGAGTAGACGATTGTCAAGCTAAGGCAGGCAGCTTCCCCGGAGTGGGCATGATCAGTCTTCCTCAATTTGTAGGTACAAAAGTGTCGAAAAGGTGATGTTCAAAAGAAAATCTAGTAATACTTCTGGAAGCTGCGCGCTAAGATGTAGTCTATTGGAGGGTATTCTAGTGCCTTTTGTAGATTTGCGTTCCATTTCGTTTCATCTTCTCGAGGCGAGGACAGCATGATCTGATTTTTACCGCATCTATATTTGTAGCATTCATCCGAATATCTACTGACAACGATCTTAGATAGTTAAATGTGAATGGTGGTTGGAAGATTGCCATGAACTCATCAAGCTTGCTGTCATCAGGTATTTGTATTACTAATTTTCTGAGATTGGGCAATGTGGTCAGATCCTTCACATCTGCTATCCCTGCTGGAAAGTTTTTTAAGGTCTGCAGGTCATTGAGATTAGCAAACCGTAACTTCTTGGTACGCTTACCATATTTCATTGGAAGATACAAATGCCTCAATCTTTTCATCTTCCAAATCACATCTGGAATTAGTTCTGCCGAATTTTTTGGATCTATGTATAGGGCCAACAAGAATCTCCAGTTGCCTATAGATGATGAAAGCACACCTGTCCAAGCAGAATTTACAGTCAAAAGCCTTAAATGGATCAAATTCCCTATTCCTTTCGGTATTGCGAATCCTCGAATCTCTTCAAGATCTAGGACTCTAAGATACTTGAACCTGCTGACTATGGATTCAATAAGCTCCTGACCTATTGCACTCTGGATGTTGCTGAATCCCAATGCAGACCTAACTGGAGGACATTCTTCAGTTCCCAAAGAGATAAACCCGCTAAAATTTTTGAAATAAATAGAAATTCTGCGGATCCTACGTGTTGAATTTGGTCTGTTAATCATTGGCGAAGAGAACAACTCCATTTTCCTGTTACTGTCACGAAGTTCTATGATTTGGAAGAAATCATTCTGCCCAGCCTTTGTCAAACATAGTTCTCGTATAAGATCATGCATGCGGCAACTTTTAATCCTTCCAGTTGAACTTCTTTTCTCCACTTGAACCAAATACCTTTCTGCCAACATTGTCAAGTACCGATATGCAACATCCTCTAATGTTTCCTCATTCTCTCTTTCATTTGATGATTCAGATGGTATCAGGGCTTCTGCAACCCACAGATTGATTAGTCTCCGTGTAGGCATTTCAAATCCTCTGGGAATTGGCCTAAATGAAGGAAGCATGGTTTCAACTGATATGGCAAATCATCGTAACTTAATGCTAACGCCTGCATAACTCCCAACTCAGTACTTCTTTGGTCGCCGTTGATTGTTTTCAAGTGTGATTTGATAGTTTTATGTACTGTCTCCCATTCATCAATGAAACGTTTTGTTGCCAAAACACCTCCAAGCACAATAATGGCCAGTGGCAGACCACGACAGTGTGTTACCATTTCTTTCCCAAGTTTTTCCATGCGTTCCAATGTTATGAAAGGATTTTCAGAATGTTTTGCCCTTGTAGCTGGTGGGTGATCTACAATACAACAAAGATAAACTATGAGCACAAATATACTTACTAGAGATAATAATAGCACTCCTTGTCGTTATGAGTTGTATATTTGATTAGAAGATTTATTATTTAATTTGTATAGTTGACCTATTAGGGACTAAGGGGCTGTTTGATACACAGGCTTGCCTTGGACTAAATTTAGTCTCATGTTTGTTTCATATAATTCTAGTCTAAATGAGATTGCTAATACCGGGCCCACCAAAAACACCTCTTAGGAGGTAGAAAAACTTGTATGAAACGGGGATAGCACTATTTTGCTATCCCCAACCAATATAGATTGCCACGTGGAAATATTATCACGTGTGGTATGTTGTGATTGATCGAGGATAACAAATAGCGTCATCCCCATTATACCCATTGCACACAAGTGTTTCTCATTATGATAGCAAAATAGTGCTATCTACCAATGTGGAAGGAGAGGATTACCTAGTCTCATGCTCACCAATGTATAAGATGCATATATATATTTTTATTATAATAATAATAACATATTATTATTATAACATACCCACATATATTATATACATATATACTAATATACATAAATATACACATATATATTATATATAATGTATTTGCATGTTAAATGTTTGTGGTTCAAGTATAGAACAATTTAATGTTAAATGTAATGATTTGCATGGCTCTTACAAATATTGCTAGTTTGTTTATCAAAGAATGTGTTGGTATTTTTAAATTTTCCAAAGTAACCTTTTTGTTGTCTATTCTCCCAAAGTTCAGTATCATCAAACTCTGAAGTTGTTTCCAATTCCACTTGATTTGGATGGTGCTGCTATGCACTATGTGTTGTCCGAAAAACACTCCAAGACCTTGTTGTTGATGGACTACGCAACTACCACACACAAGCCACACAAAGATAAAGCGCACACACGAACCGAAAAGTAAACAAGCACACAAAGAACACAAGAATTTATAGAGGTTTGTATTAGATTTGGTGAGAATTCTCTTTCATTCATATATTGATGTATAACAATATAGGAAGGTTATATATATAGAGCCTAGGAAACTAGTCTGGGAATGTAATTATGAGCCTATAATCTTGCAGAATCAAATAGTTGACTTAGACTAATTAGGAATGTATAGCTCACTGACACTCCCCTTCCTTAAGTTGGAGCATGTATGTCGTCAATGCCCAACTTGCTACCTGAGCTGTGAAATACCTTGCCTGTGAAACTTTGGTGAGGACATCTGCAAGTTGATCTTTGGATTTAACAAATGATACTTCAATGATCTTTGCATTGAGTTTCTCCTTGATGAAATGTTTGTCAACTTCAACATGCTAGGTTCTATCATGTTGCACTGGATTATGTGCAATGTCTATTGCGGCTTTGTTGTGACAATTCAGTTGCATGGCATGTTTGGGTTTGAACCCCAATTCCCCCAAAAAATTCCTTATCCAAAATAGCTCACATACTCTTTGTGCCATACCATGATATTCTACTTCAGCATTTGACCCTGACACTACTTTCTGTTTTTTACTTTGCCAAGATACTAGACCCCCAACATCTAGATGACCATGTCCTGAGAACATCAATCCTTTTCCAGGAGTTGACTTCAAGTATCTCAGACTTCATTTTACTGCATCCATGTGGGCTTCACTTGGTGTATGCATGAACTGACTCACCACACTTATGGCATACGTTATATCAGGTCTAGTGTGTCCTAGATAGATTAACTTACCCACAAGGCGTTGATATCTTTCTTTATTGGTAGGTACCTGATTAGGGTATTCACCAAGCTGATGATTCAACTTCATTGGCATATCTGCTAGTTTGTTGGCTAACATTCCAGTATCAGTTAAAATGTCAAGGATATGTTTTCCTTGTGATAGAAATATTCCTTATTTTGAACAAGCCACTTAGATGCCTAAGAAGTACTTCAGAGCACCAAGATCTTTCATTTCAAACTCACTTCCCAAGTGGTGCTACAATGCTGCCTTTTCCTTTGGGTCATTCCCCGTAACTACCATGTCATCAACATATACAATAAGGGTAGTGACTTTACCTTTCTTAAATTTCAAGACAAGTGTATGATTCGAGTTACTTTGCTTGTATCCAAAATCCTTCATTGATTTGCTAAACTTTCCAAACCATGCTCTAGGTAATTGCTTCAATCCATAAAGAGACTTTCTCAATTTACACACCATGTTACCTGTATTGGTCCCCATCTTGCATCCTGGAGGGGAATTCATATAGACTTCTTCTTTTAGGTCGCCATGCAAGAAGACATTTTTGACATCAAACTGGTGCAATGGCCAGTCTAGGTTTGTTGACAGATAAAGAAGTACTCGAATTGTGTTGATCTTGGCTACAGGGGCAAAGGTCTCCCCATAGTCAACCCCATAAGTCTGAGTGTAACCTTCTGCCACCAGTCTTTCTTTGTATCATTCAATGGCGCCATCTGCCTTGAAATTTATTGTATATATCCATCTACAATCCATTGTTCTCTTCATTTTACGAAGGATAGTCATCTTCCAAGTGGAATTCTTCTGGAAGGCCTCCATTTCATCATTTATCGCTTCAGTCCACTTGGGATCTTTCAGAACTTCATGCACATTACTTGGAATAGATAATTGGATAACTAACATACAAATGATGCACATGACAAAGACAGCCTATGTAGGGACACATGATTAACAATAGGGTAATTAGCTTTTGTTTTAGAGTCAGGGTCATACTATTGTCTAGGAATCCCTTTAATTGTACGAAGCGGTAACTGATAACCTGTGTTTCCTGTATAACTTGACTCAAGTAAAGTACTTGAGTTGGAGTTTGAATGTTCAGTTACCTGTGGGGAATCTTCAAGACCTGATCGGATGAGTGGTGATGGTATTGTAATAGGAGTTGTAGGTGCAAATTATCTGAACCATTATTTGAAGTTTCCAACAACTCTTGATCTTGTTGCACCACTGTAGCTGGTTGCTCGGACACTAACTGCTTAAAAATATTTTGTTGAATTTATTGCTTTTTGTGCTGGTGCTGCATATCTAGATGGAATATTGCAAAAAGGTGATTTGAGATGGAATATGGGTTGGTGCTGGCTTTTTGAGATGTAAGGTTAATGATCTGAATGTTTGGATGACGGTTGCTGCTACGAAGGTAGTGTTAGATTTGTATGACAACTGCTGTTGCAGAAGCGATTGCTAGGGTTAGGGCAAGAGATAGTCAAGATTGACTGCTCTGATACCATATCAGATTTGGTGAGAATTCTCTTTCATTCATATATTGATGTATAACAATAGGAAGATTATATATACAAAGCCTATGAAACTATTCTAGGAATGTAATTATGAGCCTATAATCTTGCAAAATCAAATAGCTGACTTAGACTAATTAGGAATGTACAGCTTGCTGACAGTTCGGCATTGTGCCTACATCCTCTTGGTGATCCCTGAGAAATTCACTCGTAAGAAAAAACCCCATTTGCTCTCTCTCAAACCTCTAGCTCTATTTTCTCTCAGCCTTGGCTCAAATACAATTTGATGCCTTAGTTTTCTCAATTTATAAAAACCTAGTTCTAAAATGCCTATTTATAGTTCATAGGATTTAAGTACAAACCTAATAGGAACATAAGTCTTAACCAAGCCCAAATAGGCTAGCAAAATACCCAAAACCCGGGTAAATAACCAAAACACGCTAGGAGACAAATGATGTGGGGAACGTCGCTTTTGAGCCATGCAACTGGTTGCTTTGCATAGTAACTTGCGACTTGCTCTCGGGTTTGGACGACCGGTCATTTCTGGAACTGGTGATGGGTCGCTTCTTGCTCCTCCTTCCTATTCCGCATCGTTTTAAGCCGAGCCAACTTCAACGCTATGATCTACTTAGTTTATCTCATGATGGAAGCAACTTATGGTTTGACACTAAAGTGGTTATGTGTTGAAATTGGAAAGGTTTTGGACCCAGCTGATAAATCCCATGAAGGTACACACAGTTGACAAGGCTAGTGTTGTTTCATCTTTGCTAGATTTCAGCGCGCAATTGTCAACTTCCATTTTTGTGTGATGCATTTGAATTTGAATGATTTTCATGCAAAAGTAGTGATCTTGACTAGAGAGTTTTCCAAAGGCTTTTGTGTGGATGAGCTGGGCTAGATTAGTGTCATGGTTGATTTAGTTTAGAGATGATGGATCATACACAAAATCTGTCACTGTTCATTGAAAGTAGTATAAAAATAATGTTTGCGAATTTCTGAAGTAAAGATATGACCTCATTCACAATTTTCCTTTTACCCACACACAAGTGGAATGAGGTCTAAAAGACCTGGTTTTGTTGGTTGCCGTAGGACTTATACATTATTGTTTTTAGAGGACAACTAAGAGTGGACTAAAAGACTTGGTTTTCTACTATTGTCCTATACTTCCTAAACCCCTTCACACTCAATCGAACAGTGGAATCAAGGCACTCAAATTCCAATAGTGGGCAACACTAAAGCATTATTAGATTAGTTGAAATGCTACAGATTAATTTGTGAAATGCAAAAAATGTAACACATTTTATATGCACACATGAGATGAATACAATCTATTACTAAAATTAAAAGGACAATCTAACAATTATTAAGCATGATGGAGCTAGGATGAGATGTTGGCGTTACCTCCATATGCTTGCACTCTTTGAAAAATTGCTACCTTATGGAACAGTTCCCAGCTATCTTCATCATTTAGACAGGATGGTTCATAGAGGAAACCTCTCGGATCTGCTCGATATGCTACACTTTTGTTGCGCGATGTAATTAGCACTTTGGTTTCTGTGTCCTTGTCTTGAGTTGGAAACCCAGCACTTAGCAATGACCACGCATTCGCATCCCAGATGTCATCAAGAACCACCAAGCTTCTCATCTTTTGAAGTAGCACAAAAAGTTCTTTAGCTACCTCATCATCTTTCATCTTTGCGATCTTCTCTCTCTCCTTTTCGCCAGGGGACGAAAGTTTAAACAGAATTTGCTCCCAAATGTCTCTTGTTTGATATTGTTGAGATACGCACACCCAAATGAAGTGAGAAAAATGATCCCTAACTTCATCATGATGGTAAACCTTCCTAGCCAGAGTGGTCTTGCCCAACCCTCCCATTCCACATATCGAAACCACTCGACTGCCGGAGTTTCCTGGCTTCACAAGCTCAGTCGCTAATGTCTTGGCAGCTTCCACCAAACCAACAACATTATGGTTGATGGAGTGAGAGAAACTGCGGCGTAATAAGTTGGTCACAACCCTGTCAGAATAGCTCGGCCCTTCTTCTTCCTTCAATCTCCTTATGCCATATATTTCTAGGTTCACCCTCAGTTGAGAGATGCGGCCTTTGATCTCCTCAATCTTTGACCCAACGTTGTGCAGCATTTTACTTTTCTGCCGTGTTTAAAAAATCTGTAAGACATACAGATCTTGTTCCTCCTACGGTTGCGTTCGGATTCTATTTTGTGGGCAAATTTGTCGATGACATCTTCAGCGTCATAAGCAGCATCTCTGATTTGTGCAACGAACTCTCGTACAGCTGCTTCTTTTTCTTGTCTTGAATCTGCATCTCGTAGGAAGCTGCGCATAATCTGTAGCTCTTGCTGCAACAGCTTAACTTGGTTGGGGACCTGGATCAAGAAGTTGGCTTCTTCTCTGAGCAAATCACCGAGCCTTTGCAAAAGAAAAGAGACGACGTTCTCAGCCATTTCACTATTCGCTCAAAGCAATACCACTCGATGCTTTGTCTCTCTTTAGCTCAACTACCTACTAAAAATGTTGGAATTTCAGTGTTAGTTTAAGTGTGAAGGGGTTCATGGATAATTGGCGTTACTGTAGGTGTTTGGAACAAAGATTATATTTTTTTTTATAGCAGAGAACAAAGCTATTTATGATTATGAGCAATGTTATTCACAATTGCTCAAAAGCGATTCTCACGTAGACACGTATACATGCGTTCTCTATGTATTTCTCCTTTTTTTTTAGTAGAAAAGGAAATAAAGAGGAAGAAGAAGAAGAAAGAGAAAGAAAGAGATGGAGACAAACAGAGATAAGAAGAAGAAAGAGAGATGGAGACTGAGAAGAAAAAGAAGAATAAGAACAAAAGAGAGAGAGAAGAAAGAGAAAAAAGAAAGGCACGTTTCTAGCAAGTATAGTGAGAATCGCTTTTGAGGGATTGTGAATAGCATTGCTCTTGTAGGAAGCATAGGAAGCTGTTGCTTGTGGTTTGTGGTTTCTTTGATTATAATTATACCCTAGTGTTGTAAAATCATGTAGAGCCCAAAAGAAAGATGAAAATGCCAATGGGTTCCACCACAGTGGTGGTGGATTCCTCCCGGGCCCATAGCACTCAAGTTCGAAATTTTTAAATCTAACATGTGGATAACACATATTAAGTGACGTTGGAGCACCTGTGGCCATTGGGCCAAACACATGAAACCTTGGTCTAATACCATGAAGGAAGTTGAAATTCCACCTCAAAACTAATTGGCAAAGGGAGGAGTAGCCCAACTCCTTACAAACCCAGACTTAATCTCTTAACTTTTCAATGTGAGACAAATACTCTCAATACGAGAGAAGTTGGTTGGACTGTACCTCCAAAATTGAACTTTATTCCACTTGGGCTGTACAATATGACGATTTTGTTGGATATATATTAGGTAACTTCTCTACTTTAACAAACTAGCTAACTGAGTAATTAGCAAATAAGGTTTGAGTGGTTCAATTCAATCTTGGATTTTTTCCGCCGTTTGTAAGAAAAGGTTTTTTTGAAAAATTTGACACTTTTCTTTGTTAGGTAAAGTTTTATGTATCTACTGTGTTTTTCTAAAATCTAATTGGATTTTAGGTAATTAGGTTGTTCAATAATCTTCTTCGTTTTTCTTCGTTTTTATCTCAAATCTCAAATTTCTAGAATTCTTTTTTTTTAGGAGAAAAGGAAATAAAGAGGAAGAAGAATAAGAAAGAGAAAGAAAGAGATGGAGACGAACAGAGATAAGAAGAAGAAAGAGAGATGGAGACTGAGAAGAAGAAGAAGAAGAATAAGAATAAAAGAGAGAGAGAAGAAAGAGAAAAAAGAAAGGAGAATACATTGGGAATCCGTGTACACGTGTATAGCAAGTATAGTGAGAATCGCTTTTGAGGGATTGTGAATAGCGTTGCTCTGATAGGAAGCATAGGAAGCTGTTGCTTGTGGTTTGTGGTTTCTATGATTATAATTATACCCTAGTGTTGTGAAATCATGTGGAGCCCAAAAGAAAGATGGATTCCTCCTAGGCCCATGGCACTCAAGTTCGAAATTTCAAAAAGTTTCTTTCTTCTAATCCACCCCAACCCAAAAAAAAAAAAAAAAAAAAAAAAAAAAAAAAAAATTAGATTTCGATGCATTATTTTACGGGTGTGCAATTTCCTGGCAGATGGAGGTATAAAGCAACATTTACGTACACTTCCTCCAATGGGATGGATGCATGTAAATGTGAGGGCATAAATTTGCATACCTTTATATAAAATTGTTTTTGTGTTAATTTTTGCGTTGTGTTAACCTTTTTTTTTGGTGTTTTTATTTTATAGTGTGATGTTAACTTTTTTCCAAACAAATTTTTAACATCTTGAGAAGATAAGATTTTATCTAATATAAATCATTGGTTTTGTTAAAAAATAAAGCATGTCATCTGATCCCATCATGAATAATATGAACCATCAGAATTTATAGACGTTAAAGTTCAAATTCAAAATCAATAAAATATGGGTCATCAAGTTTAAAGGGAGCCATGGCAGCTGTGTAGTGCGCTGACATGTGGTCACCCCGCTCTGCTGGCTTTATCTGGTGAGTAATGCTACAGGCGAAAAAGAAGTGGTGAGTCATTCTCCTTTTCTCCCACTTTTCCGCCCGAAAATTCTACGGTGCGCTTAGCGCATGGATGCGCCACTTCTTATGACTGTTGGATGAGTAATTTGGGCATGTGCAGTAATCCACATTGTTGCTTGTGGGTTACCAATTAACTTGTTACTATAGGTAAAAATAAAACAATTGCTCTCTCCTTCAGTAGCTGCTCCTTTCGTCCTTCTATGACAATGACACAACACCAACAATTAGGGGTGGGCACTCAAACCGGCAAATTGGAAATTCAAGCCGAACCGCACCGAACCAAACTCGAAAAAAACCGAGTTGACCAAAAAGTCAACAACCAGTCAAAAATTGAACCGGACCAGTTTGGATCCAATTCCATGTCTTCAAAAACTTGATTGGGCCGAACCGAACCGGTCAAATTAAAAATATATATAATTTCAATATATATTTATATTTAATACTATATTTTTAATCTCACAAAAAAAAAAATTAATATTTATCCAAGTTCAATTTCAAAATATCTCTCTTTTCTAACTTTAATATATATTTTTATGTGAAATTGAATAATTTGTTAATTTTCAAGTAAAAATAATAATATTTCAGTTGAGAATTGTATTAAAAAATTAATTTTAAAAAAATAATTTTTATAATCCGGTTCAAAACCGAACCGGACCGAAACTTGTTCAACCCGAACCGAACATTTTTTTATTAAAACTGAACCGAACCAAACCAGATGAATAGTACCGAATCGATTTTCATTTGAGGCAAAAATCGGTCCAACCCGAACCGTGCCCACCCCTACCAACAACCACATCTCCTCTCCTCTCAAGTAAGTTAGTGTCCTTATTCTCATTCTTCTATCTCTTTACATCTCTCTATGAACAGAGCCTCACTGCCTCCTCTTTTCTTAGTCTCTGTCTTATTTTGATTCCTTCCACAGGCGCTCCTCCTTCTGTGACGACGTCAACGAGACAGGGTTGGCAGCGTCATATTCTTTCCTCAATTCCTCTCTCATATCAGTTTAAGGTAAGCATCCTCTTCCTTTGAATTTAGGGTTTTTTATGTTAAATTAGGCTTGTTGAATTAGGGCTTCTAAATTGAATTGGGGATTGAGGTAGATTATTTTTTCTATTAAATTAAGGTTGTCAAGGTGGTTGAGACACTGATGGATTGATAGTTTTTGATTTTCTGGATATTTGGTGGGTCTAATTTATTTGATTTGTTAATCTTTGAATATTGATAAGTTTGGAGCTCATTTATTGAAATGTATTGGTCTTCAAAGCTTTTTCTTCACTCGTGCTTTAACACAGTGTATTGGTCTTTCCTCATTTATTGGAATGTATTGCTCTTATTTTTCTTATATATATATATATATATATTGGGTGCAGTTCCTTAGTGTGTTTGGCTCCTCTCCCTCTGTAGTAGTAGAAGTTTTTAAGTTGAGAAGCTTCTGTTCTGTATCATCCAACCATGGTGTCTTGCTTGTGCATCCTTCGTCTATAGACAGTACATAAACATCGTTGGAGTAGTGATCAATAACTTCAAGATTATCATCAAAGAAAAAGCAAGCATCTGGAGTCCCAGATTTGTGGCGATTAGATAATGCTCCATGTTTACACCATAATCAACCGAGCATATCCAGTCTCAAAACAACTAGCACCAAGGCAGACACGCCTTCTCTCCTGCCAAAGGAAGACACTCTTCCGAGATGCCAACCACCTGCCGAAACTCCCGACTGCCAAAGCTCACAAACTGTTAAACCTAATTCTCATGACACATGTCACCACCGCGGCGACTTGCACAGAGTCCCACATCGGAAATCTACACCAACCTCCCACTTTCACTTCCCTATAAAAAGGGATCAGTACCCTAGTAAGAGGGGTAACTACTTTTCTGCCTTTTACTATTACTCTGCAAAAATTACCCTTTTTAGCTGACTTAAGCATCGGAGAGTCTTCAGCTGGCACCACATTGGTGCCCGGAGCTTGACGACTGCTTCCCTTATCTTTGTCTTCTGCAGGTTAGCCTTTATTGAAGGCCAGACCCTTTCCTTGCTGAAGGCAAATCCCTTTTTCTCTAAGTTGACCCTCTCCGAAAAAGAGCATCAACACTCCACATTCAACTTTAAGGCTATATCTGCATTACATGAAATCAGTGAATGCTCAGCTAACTTAAGACACATATAAGAAGAAGAACTATTTTTGGCTAGTGACAAACATTCAATCCAAGCATATAAATATGAAAAAGCAGGAACCGAAGAGAGAGAGATGATGACTTCTTATGACGGAACAGAAATTAGGAATCAGGATAGCTAAAAAGTAAAGAGATGTCTACTATTCAACTGATTATCTTTAGAGTCAATCAATCCATATTGGGATGACAGTCTGGTCAAGCATCCCATATTGTTTTGTCTCGTGCAGGTAAGACTACTTTTTCTCTATATTGGTTGTGTTTGAAACAACAAAAGGAAATTGAGTTCAATTCCTTAGTGTGTTTTGTTTTCTAGTTTCTGGTTTAATTTGTTGGTGGGTAGGCATTATGATTCTACTTTGGGTGGATTTTTTATTTTATTTTTAAATTTATGTTTCTATGCTAGCCATTAATTAATGTGTAGATTTACAGCAGCTGCTTCTTCCTGGGTAATCTTCATCGTACATCCCTCCAGATCTATAACTACTGCTAGTTCTTGGTTTTTTCAAAAAATTTTAATTATGGTTATGATTGAAAAAGCTTCTAAGCTGCTTTAGGCCATGGAGTTATGATTTAAACTAGTATTTGCCAAATTGAAAGTTCGACAATGATTGCAGTGCTATTTTATCAAATTTGCTTTTGTATTGTAGGGAATTTTGATTCCTTAGTTCTTTCCACTGAAATACCATTAATCTTTGGGAGTTTCACTAAAACACCCAAAATGGGGGCTGAAATTATAGAAAAACCCAACACCCAAAACTCATCATTACACACACTCAAAACCCATTTATAAACACACCCAAAAAATATACAATTGTTGATTTTGGGGTTGATTTTGGGTGTGTTTCTATGTTTAAATAGTGCTTGGGTTTTTTTATAAATACATGTCTAGGATTGGGTTTATTTATAAATTTGTATTAATCTTTCCCCTGTATTGTAGGGAATTTTGTTTCCTCTGGCCTCAAAGCAAAGACTAGGTAATTTGGATTTGAAAAGTATGTACTTCGATTTCTATTCTTAGGTAAATTTTCTTGCTTTAAGTGTTGTTTCTGTTGCATTTAATTTTGTTTATGTAAGTGAAAGCTCAACAACTAATATAACTTTTAATCATGGTCATAATAGAAAAAATATAGTGGAGGTTTCTGTGGTCTCTGAGATAGTTGCAGGCCTTTACAAATGTAGTTCTAACTTTTATTCTATTGATGTGGTCTCTGTGATAGTTTTCATAATGTAGCTACTTCTTGTTGCTTGTGTAGGGTTGATCTGGAAAAGAGACGTGCAGAGAAGGAATGGGAAGAAAAGGGGCACGTGCCTTTTAGTTATTTTCTTCCTCTTACTTTCAAAGTTTTAGTAAGTAGTTTCTTGCCTTTTTATGAATGATTTTCTTAATGCCTTGTCTTTGCAATATGCAACATTTGGACTTTAAACAACACCCAATAGTTGCCCTGTGGGTAGTTAGCTATAACTATTGTTTTATTTGGCTTGTATGTTTTCCTGTTTACAGGACTTCCCAACCCACTGAACATGAAACTTCACTGCAATCAATAGTAACATGCATTTGAAGAGTCCTAATTTACATGACTTCTAAATCTTCTTCATGGGAAAGGGACTCACTCTTCTTCTTGGCCTTCTTAATTTGAAATTGGTTTTGATTATGTTTTCCAGTTAGGTATTGTTTTGATTTTGATTTTGGATTTGCAGGTATTCCAACTAGCAGCTCATCCGCCTTTCATAGCATCTGATATGAGTAAAATTTTGTTTTTTGTTTTTTTTTCTTCAGATTTATCTCTCTGTCTTTGTCTTTCATTTTGGTGAATGGTTGGAGATTTTATTTATTTATTTTAGGTCAGCATGAGGAATATATATATATATATATTCACTTTGGTGAATTGTTTTTCAGGTTGGGGTAAAGAATTAGGCCAAGTACAAGACTAATATGCTATTTTGGAGTCTATTTATTTGGCTATTTGAATTTTTAATATTTTCATTGTATGTGGAGATTTTTTATTTATTTAAAATTTATACATAATGACTTGAGATTTTAGATTTATAATTATTGGTTATGTAAAGTATGTATTGAACAATACTTTCAATTACATGAATGAAGTTTATGTTAGCTTCGATGTAGTACCATTGAGAATAAGCTTTTAAAGTAAATTTGACTATTATATCATAGTTTATGTGCCAATTGAAAGAATCATCCCATTAGCATTGTGAATGGGCATTGTACCATAAAGTTGTATTTTTAGATTAGTGTATGCATATTGCCATGTTATTGATAGTCTTTTCAATTTTGAGAAAGTATATACAATATGTAATTTGTCAATGCAATTGACAAACAGGTAGTGCCATTTGCATTCCAATCGTGCAATTGACAAACAAAGTAGCACTATTTGCATTTCAATTGAGCAATTGCCATTATCTATGCACAATTAATTGAAAATGTAAATATAATATGTGATTTGTCAATGCAATTGACAAACTGGTAGTGTAATTTACATTTCAATAGTGCAATTGACAATCAAAGTAGTCCTATTTGCATTTCAGTCTTGCAATAATCATTATCTTTGTACAATTATGAAACATAGAATACTAATGATAAATCCTTCATAATTAATTGTATGTTCAAAAGGTTGTAATCCTGTGCAAAAAACTTAGTAGAATGCATAAAAACATTGCTTAATAGTGAGTGACCGGTTAAATGGGTTGCTCCAGGTTAAAAAAAAGAAAAGAAAAGAGAAATCTAAAAAGAAAGAAGGCTTTCTTGCGACTTCTATCTCTTCCTCTTCTTGACACTTCTATCTCTTCTTCTTCTTCGCACGACTCGTGTCTCTTCTTCTTGGTACAATCAGTCTTTTTTCCATGGTTGCTCTCTCTTCTTTAGTTGGGCTTGTTAAAATGAAGGTTTGATTATTCAAGAATAGAAGAAAGGAATGGAAGAGAGAGAGAATAAAGAGAGCAATAGAAGAAAGAAATCAAAGCTTTTGTATATTTCTCTCAATCATCTGAACAGTACAATTGTAAGCTTATATATTCTTAGCTTTTGCTTACTGATTAAGCACTATTGTTGACTAGCTTTTCTGAATTTCTAACCACTTCACATGATATCACAAAGCTTCATGGTTCTATTGTTGTCACTCTTTGTGGTAGATGTTAATGTTATGTTTTCCTATTTAGATCGGTGCACTAGATACTAAGTCATATCAGGTTTAATAAGAGTTTAAATTAAGTTGTACCTTGAGGCCCAAAACCTAGTGAAATAAGGAAAGGTTTTGAGGCCTATTAAGGGGTCCTATTTTATTTCCATTTATGCGTGAACCAATTAAGTGGGCTTGGAAGATAAGTCAAGTCGGCCCTTGGTGATGAGTAGAGACGACTTGACCTAGCCCTATATAAGCTAAAGGCCTTGCTCTCATCAGACACGTTCTCTAAACCTATTTTCATCAAACAGAGAGAGCTGAAACAGATTCCGAGAGAGAGCAGAAGTCTTGAGATGTTCCTGTCTTAAGCTAAAGGCCCTGCTCTCACCATTTGCGCGACGAAAATTTGCGCGACGAAGAATAATTCGTCGCGCAAAACCTACTGGCGCGACGAAAGAAAATATTCGTCGCGCAAAGCACTAAAAATTTCCGCGACCAAATTTTTCATCGCACGAAATGTCTTTGCGTGACCAAAAAAACTCGTCGTCGCACAAATAGAGTTAAAAAGAGTGGTGAAATTTTTGTTGGTGCGAAACATTTGCGCGACGAGAAATATCGTCGCTTAAGACAACCTTGCACGACGGTACTCTGCTTCGTCGCGCAAAAAGGGACAGAAACCAGTGGGTCCCTTTATTTGGCGGTAAAAACTTGTGCGACAAAACTCTTCGTCGCAAAAAACAGCTTAGCGCGACGGGAAGAAGTTTCGTCGCGTAAGAGAACGAGGGATATTTTATTTTTGGCGCCAAAATTACCTGGTTGGGAATTTTTTTTTTGCGCGACGTACACATTATTCGTTGCGTAAAGTTCCACGTTTGAGCGACGAAATTTGGTTTTTGCAGGACGAAAGTTTGCGCGACGGAAAACACCTACGTCGCGCAAAAGTTTGATGTCGGCAGGTGATTGCGCGACGAAAAATTTGGTTTGCGCGACGAAATATTTGGTTTTTTGCGACGGAAGTATGCGCGACGAAATTATGTATTCGTCGCGCAAAGTCCTTCTTCTTCATATTAGAATTCTGCCATTGCAGAGGCAGAATGCAAAAAAAAAGCATTCTGCCTCTGCCTCTCTCTCAACCTCTCTGCCACTGCTGGGACTTCAATACATTGATTGGGTAAATATTTTTCGTCATTAGTTTAAAAGTATTAATTTAAATTCGTACTAAGGCTTTTTATTTTGTTTTCGTTAGGGATATTTGTAATTAGCGGTTGGTGGAGAACGATTGAGAAGGTATTTTATTCGTTTTATATATTAATAATGTTAAAGTTAGTTTGTTATGTTTAAAATTTTCTTGTGAAGTTATATTTATATTATGTTGTTAAATTGTGTGTAACGTAGCACAATATGTTGTGATGTACGAAGTTAATTGAAATTAACTTCGTACTTTTATTTTTATGTTTAGTAACACTTAGTTTCCCGTTCGAGATTAGTTGGATTTCGTGCATGGATGCGTAATGCATGACTGCGGTCCAATTAATTCTTGAATTGTCCCATTATTTGGACAGTTTGGTAATGCATAGTGTTGTCACGTAATCTACGGCTACAGGATTAGGTTTCGATTGTGGATATTTCGATGTCATCTCGGTACGTTCTTCGGGTGGTACGTAGGTATTTATACCTATGGCCACCTCAAGAACTGTAGCGAGATGCTGGCGAAATTCATCCACGTCGAAATCTAATCTCATGTAGCCGTAGGTTACGTGGTAGGAGTATGCATTCCCGAATGGGATAGGACCCTTACCGGAGGCATAAGGTGACATTATAACTTCGTATGAAGTTGTTGTGATTGTTGTGTTGTGATTCTGGTTTCAGGAATTATGGACAAAAGGTGGATACAGAACCCGAACAAATGCGCAGACGAATACTTGGATGGAATCGAGGATTTTATTGAGTTTGCACGTAGACACAATCCGGGTGCAACTAGAATCCATTGTCCTTGTAGGAGGTACAACAACACGTTATGGGAGACAATTGAAAGGAATGGAATGATTGAGACATATAGCATTTGGAACCTTCACGGGGAACAATTAGAGCATGCTTCGTCTTCAAATGCCACAAGAGTGGACAATGTTCAACCTATTGTGGATGCTAATGATCAAGTCATGGATATTATACAGGATGTTTTTCCATTTGCATCGACCAACATGAATCAAGAAGAGCAAGATGATGTGCCTACACCAATAGACAGTGCGGAGTTTGAACAATATGAAAAATTGTTAAAAAATGCCAACCAAGAGTTATACCCGGGGTGCGAGAGCTTTTCCGTTCTTACGGCCATTGTGGAGCTAATGCACGGAAAAATAAAGTATCGTATGTCGAACTTGTGTTTCGATTACTTTTTGGGGGTTTTCAAGAGAATGCTTCTGACGGACAATTGTTTGCCGAAAGACCATAAACAGGCGCAAAATGTGTTGAATGGTCTGGGATTGGGTTATGAAAAAATTCATGCTTGCAAAAACAATTGCATGTTATTCTACAAAGAGCATGAATCGTTGGATACATGTCTTATATGCAATGAGTCGAGGTTCAAGATGACATCTCAGAATAGGACGACTAAGATCCCACAAAAAGTCATGCGTTATCTGCCCCTGAAACCTAGGTTGCAGCGATTGTATATGTCGACGCATACTGCCACATACATGAGATGGCATAAGGAAAAACGGGTGGACGATGATGTGATGCGGCATCCTGCAGATGGGGAGGCATGGAAAGAGTTTGATCGAACGTTCCTCGAGTTTGCTGCTGATCCCATAAATGTTAGATTGGGACTTGCCACTGACGGATTCAATCCGTATGGGGTTCTAAACCAACACCACAGCACTTGGCCGATTTTCGTATTCCCATATAATTTGCCGTCTTGGAAATGCATGAAAAAAGAATACATGAAAAAAGAATACATGATGATGACTGTTTTGATAACTGAGGATCCTGGGAGGTCAATCGATGTTTACTTAAGGCCGCTGGTTGATGAGCTGAAGGATTTATGGACAAACGGTGTTCGCACGTACGATAAATCAACTGGGAAGATATTCACTTTGCGGGCAGCAGTTATGTGGACTGTGAATGATTTCCCAGCATATGCAATGGTTTCTGGGTGGAGCACAAAATGTTATATGGCATATCCTGTATGCAAGGAAGATGTAACTTCTGGTTGGCACGCTGGAAAAGTTTGTTACCTTGGTCATCGGAGATGGTTGCCATGGGACCATGAGTGGAGGGAAAAAGATAAAGAGTTCGACGGGAACACAGAGCGTCGCCTTAGACCTAGAGAATGGTCTGGTGATGAGATATTGGACCAGCTTAACCGGTTGGATTTTGCTCCCTTCGGGAAAACAGTTAGTCGTATCAGACCTTCTACACATATGAACTGGACGCACAAGCCTATGTTTTTTGAGCTCCCATATTGGTCGAAACTCAAATTGAGGCACAATCTAGATGTAATGCATGTTGAGAAAAATGTATTCGACACATTGGTGGGCATGATTCTAGATATCGAGGGGAAGACAAAGGACACGATCAAAGCTCGTCTTGATTTGGAAAGAATGGGCATACGAAGGGGTTTATGGATGAATAGGGACAATGTTAAAGCTAGAAGGGATCTTGCATTCTTTTCTATGAAACCGAATGACAAGAAAGAGTTTCTAAAGTTTGTATCGTCTGTAAAGTTTCCCGATGGGTATGCTTCTAATATCGCACGTTGTGTGAATGTTGACGGGGGTAAATTTATTGGACTTAAGAGCCATGACTGCCATGTGTTTATACAACGCCTACTTCCTGTGAGTATTCGACACCTATTGCCGGAAGATGTAGTGAAGCCAATCATTTTGTTGTCCATATTTTTTTCCCAACTGACGGCAAAAACTTTGCGAAAAACGGACATGTTTCAGTTGCGCCATGACATTGTCCAAGTCCTATGCAAGTTTGAGACGATATTTCCTCCAGCTTTCTTCACAGGTATGATGCACGTGATGGTTCACTTGCCAGAAGAGGCATTGCTTGCTGGTCCTGTCAACTATTGCTGGATGTATCCAATAGAAAGGTATATAATCCTTATCGTTTGTGTATGCATCATTATCACATGCTTGCTAATTTGTATCATATCGTTTTATTTCGGCAAGCTTCTCGGAGAGCTGAAAAAAAGTGTACGCAACAGGGCGAAGCCCGAAGGATCAATTGTAGAGGCTTGGGTTCAATATGAGTCGCTTAATTTCTACGGAATGTATTTAAAAGATGTGGCGACGGTTTTCAATCGTCCTCAGCGCAATCATGACGGAGGTATGAGAAATGAAAAACTTTCTGTTTTTGCCCAAAGCGCACGACCCTTTGGAGATCCTGGACGAGGGAAGTCGTTTTCTAGAAATGACATGGAGGTAACGCATTGGTTCGTACTGAACAATTTTGATGAGATCATGGGATACTTATATGAGCATGAAGAGATGATGAAGTGAGAACATCCATCACATTTGGTTGCCCATAAACACCGTGAATTGTTTCCACAATGGTTTTTGGATTCTGTAAGTTATCAGTGTTTGTTATTTGAGAAATATAAATTGTAGTTTTTAATTTTGTCAGACTAACATGTGAATGGTTTTGTATAATATTAGGTGAATAAGTTGAAATCATCAAATTCCCCAACTTACAGTGATGAGTTATATAACTTGGCGTTCGGCCCGATTCGCGCTGAATTGTTCTCGGGTTGTAATGTCAACGGCGTCAAATTTTTGGGGGTTGCACGAGATGACAAGTTGTGTACGCAAAACAGCGGTGTCCATGTCCCAGGTGGAGGCGAAAGTACGGACATTGATTTCTATGGCAAACTCACAACTGTCGTGCAATTGCTTTACAAAGATCGATATCAAGTGATCATGTTTAAGTGTCGATGGTTTGACACCAACCCAAATAGGCCGGGAAGTGTTAAAATCGATCATGGCTTACTATCTGTGAACATGAACAGAACTTGGTATGATGACGACCCTTATATTTTGGCAAACATGGCAACACAAATTGTGTATCTAGATGACCCTAAAGCCGGAAGCGGTTGGAACGTTGTTCAAAAGATGGATCATAGGAACGTGTATGCTATACCAAAACTAGACCCAACTGACAACGACGTCGACAATGTGGCTGACCAACGTTTAGAATCTTCAATGGAAAATGATGCGGAAACACTTCGAGATACAAATGTTATACAAGAGCCATTTCAAATACAAGGAGTGTCTTCAATCGAAATACCGATTCAGTCAATTACAATTGACCTCGGTGATCTTCCGCGATATGATGTTGCAGTTGGCCCGAGCAACGACGATGATGTAGTTATAGAGGAGGCGGAGGAGGAGGAGGAGGAAGAGGATTGGGAGACCGAAAGTGATGATAACGACGATAACGAAAGTTATTATAGTTCAGATGATGAATGATGAATTTTTTTTGTAATTTTATTATGTTAGTGGACATATTTTGTGTAATGCAAATGTTTTCATATATGTACTTGTTATATCCAAACATTATATATGTGGAGAAATGAAACATTATTAAAATAAATGTAGTTATAAACCATTGGTAAATCAATATATCCAAGTAATTTTAATAATAAAGTTTAAATTTATTTTGATAAAAAACTTTTAAAAAATGAAAATCATAAACAAGAAAGAGAATTGGGGAGATATAGAAATATTGATCATTATTTAATTATAATAAATATGTTATTATTCATAAACTTTCTTTCATTTGAACTCACAAAATCAACAATCCTTCAATTCTCAAATCAAAAGAAAATAGAATAAATCATACTTTCATACAATTAATTCTATGTAATGATGAATAATTCAGCTTAATAATATGTGAATGAAAATAACTTTGCGCGACGGAAAATATACACGTCGAGCACACTCTAAATTTTGCGCGACAAATAATTCCGTCGCGCAAGTAAATTTTGCGCAACGAACAAAAGTACCTCGTCGCGCAAACATAAATATATATATTTTTGATATATACACACGTATATATTTGAAATTGACGATCGAAGTAGTTCACTGTATTCACATAGGGTTAAACAATGTAGCTAGAAAATAACCGTTAAATCATGACTTTTCGTTTATAACTGTCGAAAAGTTTTGTCCCTTTACTTGATCTCTGAATTTTTTTTTTTTTCTAATTTTCGACGTATACAATCTCGAAGTATAAACAAACAAATTTGACGGCTGGATTACTGAAACTAGTTTCCCAGAATGCGTATTCCATCAAAACACAATATTCACCAAAAATGAAGAATTTATTTATACATTCATTCAATATAACATAAGATTATGTGATGTCCTGTACTGTAAATATATGAAATTGAAGATCGAATTCCATCTCTGTATTCATATGGGGTCAAGAACCGCAGCTGTAAAAAATTTTCAAAATCGGAGTTAAAATCACCGTTGAATCGGGACAATTTGTTTAGAACCGTCGAAAAGTTTTGTCCCGTTACTCAATCTCTGAATGTTCATTCATTCTGATTTTCGACGTATACGATCTCGAACTATAAAAAAAGAAGATTGCTGGTTGGATCACTGAAACTAGTTCAGGAGTTAGGGTTTAGGGCTTAGGGTATAGGTTTTAGGGTTTATGGTACAAGGGTATGGGTTTGCGCGACGAAGTCACATTGCATTCGTTGCGCAAAGAAAATCCTTGCGCGAAGAATACAAGTAACCTTCGTCGCGCAATGTGAGAAAGAATTTTAGCCCATCTCCACTCCAACACTTAGCGAATTTTTTTGGGCAAAAATCTAGCTTGCGCGATGTACACAAGTCCCCTTTGTCCCGCAAACCCATGAAAGAATTTCAGCCCATCTCCGCTCCAACACTTAGCGAATTTTTTTGGGCAAAAATCTAGCTTGCGCGACGTACACAAGTCCCCTTCGTTGCGCGACGAATAAATATCTCCTCCGTCGCGTAAACCCATGGCACAATTGCAGCCATACTCTGCCCCAACACTTAGTAAAATTTTTTGCATATCACAGCTTGCGCGACGAACGAAACTTTCGTCGCGCAATAGTATTTCATTTATCTTCCCCGCGCAAAATCAAATCCCAAAATTTGGGCGGCTGGACAAACTTGCGCGACGAAACCATTTGTTTCCGTTGCGCAAAGGTGATATTTTCAGAACCTTGCGCGACGAAACATGTTCTTTCGTTGCGCAAAATTGCCAACCCTAAACCCCAATCCCAAATTTTGGCGGACATGGCGACATTGCGTGACGGAAATGTTATTTGTTTCGTCGCGCAAAATTTATTTAAATGAACTTTCCGCGACGCATACTTTTCGTCGCGCAATAGTATTTCATTTATCTTCCCCGAGCAAAATCAAATCCCAAAATTTGGGCGGCTGGACAAACTTGCGCGATGAAACCATTTGTTTCCGTTGCGCAAAGGTGATATTTTCAGAACCTTGCGCGACGAAACATGTTCTTTCGTTGCGCAAAATTGCCAACCCTAAACCCCAATCCCAAATTTTGGCGGACATGGCGACATTGCGCGACGGAAATGTTATTTGTTTCGTCGCGCAAAATTTATTTAAATGAACTTTCCGCGACGCATTTAGTTATTCGTCGCGCAAAGTCGAATAAGTTTTCTGAAAATCGCGATCTTCTCCTTCTTCCCCAGTTTCTCAAAGTCGAACCCTAAAACCTCCCTCTCTCTCGGCCGTGACCTCCGCCCCTACTCTGCCCCAATTCAGACCCTGCCGCCACAAGCGTCGAACCCTAGAGCTTCTCCGCCGTCGCCGTCCATCCTGCCGCCGTGATTTCCTCCGTTTAGGCCGAATCTTCGCCGCCGTTGTTCTCTCTCCTCCGGGCACCAAATCCGGCAATTGAGGTATGCTTTCTGGACTATTTTTGATGCTTTAGCTGATGGTTGGGTAGGATTTCATTGATTGTGTGCATAGGGTAGTGAATTTGAAACCCTAGGTTTCGGCCAGTTTTGAAATTGAAATTCCGGCCACTTCCGGCCGTTTTTTGGGGTAGGTCCAAGAACAAAAGTGCCTCCAATCGATGTTTTGAACATAGGGTAGGAACCTTGGCCCTTAATTTTTAGGATTTCCCGGGGTACTGTGGCATAGGGCATTGGGTCCCAGTGCAAACATTTCGTTGTCACGAGCGCGTAGGTCTGCTCGGATTGGAATTTGGTTACCGTTTGAGTCTCGAACGGATCGAACCTATTGTGCGATTTCCGGGTTTGATATGTTCGGACCGTTGGATCGAGCTGAAACTCACGTATGTGGTACCATGTATTTATAGGATCGTTTAGGATTCGACTGATCGTGGATCGGAGTCCTGGATACTCCGAAATCGCAAACCCTAGGTCAAACTATGATTTTAATTAATTAGTTCAATTTTTAATAACATTGTATGTGCTAAATTGGATTAATGAAATTGTGCAGATGTCAGACTTGATTAGACGTCGTAGGGCGGTGACGACTACACCGAGTTCGGAGCCCCCGGCTCAGCCGGTATCAGCTGCCACTGCTCCAGCTCTGATGGAGCAGGACCACGTGCTAGCTGGTCCTGGGGGATCCCAGGCGCCTGCATCATCATCTTCTTCGGTGGCGACACCGGCCCGCTACCACCACCGACGCCACATCGACCGACGGTACTAGTGCCTCGGGGGCACCGCCAGGTATATATACCCTTCCACTTTGGTTTTTTTGTTTTTAAAATTTTTTTAATTGGGAATATTGTGGTTCAATTTGTTATTTATTTAACAGTATTGTCATATCCCTTTGCAGCCAAGAGGAACACCCGAGGGCCATGTCGGCAGCTGAAGACGGCGAAGGTCACCCGCGTGACCAACAGTCGTATCAGCATCGAATATGACGAGCGCCATTGGGCTGCACCGACGGCGGACTTGCATAGCTCCTTGGCCCACGACATTGGCCACGTCATTCGGACCCATTGCCCGATGCAATGGAAGTCTTGGAAGGTCATTCCTGAGGAGATCAAGATGCAAGTTCGCGGCCAGTTGTCGGTATGTTTCCTATCTTTTAATTATTTTTCTTTCAAACTTTATATATTTCTATTACTTAATGTATGTAATGAATTTATTGCAGACGAACTACCACTTAGAAGACCTCAACGAGGAGACCTTGGCGTACGTCAACAGACTCTTCGGTGAGAGGTACAAGCAGTGGAAGAACGACTTGCACCACCATTTTCAGGCGTTTGATGATCCGCAAGTCGCTCTTCATGAGGGTTGCCCGAAGGAGCTTGAAGGGCGGGAGGATAGTTGGGCGTGGCTCTGCGCTCATTTTCAGGCGCCCGATTATGTTGTATTTTTTTAATAATATTTGTTTAATTATTACATATTTCTTATTAATGTTTATTTTATTTTTTATATCTCATTATTATTTAATTTATTTATATTTCAACTATTACGTTTTATTTTTTGTATAACAGAATAAAGCCCAAGTGAATAAGGGCAATAGGAAGAAGAAGACTCTTCTCCACCATTCCGGCTCCAGGCCCTTCTCATATAGGATGGATGCACGGCGTCGGTAAGAATAATATAATTTATATTTAATTTTTAATACGTCATTATTATTAATTTATTTTGTTCATACTAATATTTTCCTTCTCTTGTTCAATTAAGGGGGGGTCGAAATTCCCAGAGATCGAGGTCTTTGGTGACGTTTATGTTCGACCTGGGAATGAGTTGGCCGAGTCCCTTCATGTAAGTATTATTTAATTTTAATTCTTATGTTACGCTTTCAATTTATATGCATTTTTAATTTATATTTATGTAATGTTAAACAGACGACGATGGTGGAGAGGAGCCAGTTGGTTCTTCAAGAGTCCGCCTCCCAACTTCCTCCCGAGACTCCGATCGAGTCTGTGGATCCTCCGCATGATGCTGGATTTCAGATTTTGACGCAGACGTTGGATCAGACTCTCAAATTGTGTAACCTACATATTTATGGATCCTCTTTACAACGTTATAGTACCATCGTATCCAAAAATTGTAAAATTGGCCTTTAATCTTGTAAACCCTCATTTTACAAGAATAATGACCAAATTTACATCATCATGGTCCGCAGTTACCAATTCCTTGTAATGTGGATCCATATACTTGTAAAATAAGGATTCACAATGTTAAGGATTATGAGAACCCTAATGTTGTGATTGTGGTACAAAAACCTGTAAATCACTACTTAAATCGTGTAACTTACATGTTTATGGATCCATTTTACAACATTTTGGTACCCTCATATCCCAAAATTGTAAAATCAGCCATTAATATTGTAAATCCTCATTTTACTAGAACAAGGACCCCAATTTACATCCTCATGGTCTGCACTTACCTATTCTTTATAATTTGGATCCATATCCTTGTGAAATAAGGATTTACAATGTTAAGGATTATGAGAACCCTAATATTGTAATTGTGGTGCAAATCATTACTCAAATCGTGTAACCTACATGTTTATGGATCCTCTTTACAACTTTAGGGTACCATCGTATCCCAAAATTGAAAAAATCGGCCCTTAATCTTGTAAACTCTCATTTTACTAGAATAATGACCTAATTTACATATCCTCATAGTCCGCACTTACCAATTCCTTGTAGTGTGGATCCACATCCTTGTAAAATAAGGATTTACAACATTAAAGATTATGAGAACCCTAACATTGTAATCATGGTGCAAAAACCTGTAAAGCACTACTCCAAATCTGGCCCAATATAGCTTGTTTTAAAGATAAAAACATTCTGAACACTTATCCAGAAGGCCACAAACCCATCCGAGGTCATTTTGGGCTCCAAAACGCAATGAAAGCCCAAAACGTCACTATTCCAGCACCGCGCACTGCTTCTTTATTTTATTGCCAGAAAATAACCACTTGGTAGAAAAATCTGAAATTTCGATACGATCAAGTGAAGTGACTCGTGAACGTCCTCCAACTGGAATTACTCCAAAATTTGTCGATTTGATTACGTTTTGCTCTAGAGGAAGTTGAAAGTCCTATATTGGGAATATAATTAAAAGTATCAAAATTCTTCCAAAATAGTAACCAAAATATACTAAGAATGGGGTTAAATATATAATATAAAATAGAGCTTTAGTTTTAAAACACAATATAGTTTACTAATTTGGAAGATAAGAATACAATTTCATCTAATTAGCATAAGGCCAAAGACCAAATGTAGTACCTAATTTTACAAAAATATCAAAATTACACATAATGCCACTCCTTCTAAGGTAAGCATACTATGCCACATGTCTATATCTAGCCAACCACCACCGCCGGCCACCTGTCGCCGACCACCCTCGCCGGAATCTTGCCGCCGGCCATCCCCACCGGAATCCCGCCGCCGGCCACCCCCACCGGAATCCTGCCGCCGGCCACCTGCCACCACCACGGCCCATCGCCGGCCTGCCACCGTTTGCAAGTGACCAACTCCGTTGCCCTTTATTCACCTTTAAAAAAAAAGATTTTGTGTCATTGAATGGACTTGAACCTTGAACCTCAAAGGAGGAACCCTCACTCACAAACCACTACACAAAACTAGATTTTTTAATATTTATTCAGTTATACAATATATATATAATCAATGGTTTTAAAAATGAAAATAAAAAATCATTTCAACACTTATTAACACAAAAACTGCAAATCAAAACTGAAACTGAAACAAAAATATAATGTAGATATCAATTATGTTAAAAAAGACAAAAACAAAAACAAAAACAGCTACAAAAACAATTGTAATTAAATGAGAACTACAATGCAGTTTCCAGTTTCCAAAAGTTCAATTTTGAGTTCCCTTGCTCTTGGGTGGTTATACTCTTCTCTTGCCCACCCAATTCCTCATCTAGGTAATCTCTACTCTTCAAATTGGTGAGGTTGAAGGCTAAGGAAAGAACAAAAATCAAATTGTAATTAAATGAAAACTGCAATGCAGTTTCCAGTTTCCAAAAGACCAATTTTGAGTTCCCTTGCTCTTGGGTAGTTCTACTCTTTTCTTGCCCACCCGATTCCTCATCTGGGTAGCCTCTATTCTTCAAATTGGTGAGGCTGAAGGCCAAGGAAAGAGCAAAAATCCAATTGTAATTAAATGAAAACTACAATGCAATTTCCAAAAGTCCAATTTTGAGGGCTTGACATTGATGTGAAGTCAGATATGAAAATAATATACAAATTTATAAATAAACTCAATCCTAGACATGTATTTATAAAAAAACCAAAGCACTATTTAAACATAGAAACACACCCAAAATCAACCCCAAAGTCAACTTTTTGGGTGTATTTATAAATGGGTTTTGAGTGTGTGTAATGATGGGTTTTGGGTGTGTTTATATGTTTAAATAATGCTTGGGTTTTTTTATAATTTCAACCCCCATTTTGGGTGTTTTAGTGAAACTCCCAAAATAATATCACAAGATCTGAGCAATTAACGAAAAAACATTACACGAAAAATGGAGATTGGAACCTTGGATGTTCTAATCTTTGTTATTCGAAGGGATGAGCAGCAAGTCAATTGATCTTGAACTTAGTAAGATAGCAATCGCAATGCCCTTCATGTTGAGCTAGAATACCTTGGAGTCGCCAGTGAATGCCAAAGGGATGAGCCGCGAGTCAAGTAGCTAGAGAATTCCATTGTAGATCGATCTCTCGATCTTGGATCGATGATCGTAGATCATGGCGATGTGGTCGTTGTTGCTGCACAGAGAGAGAGAGAGAGAGAGAGAGAGAGAGAGAGAGAGAGAGAGGAGAGAGAGAGAGAGAGAGAGAGAGAGAGAGAGAGAGAGAGAGCAAAGAATTTAGGTCAGGCTTTTAAAAAAAAGGGTACAATTGTCCTTTCAATGATTAGTGTAAGATGGGCCAACGAATTTGGGCCTCCACTTTGGCCAAATCCAAAACAAAATTCAATTCCTCGGTATTAAAACCAAAACAGAAATACTGTTTGTCTCAAATACTAATTAGTAAAGATAATTATGTCTAATACCTAATTTTTCTTATAAATATACCCATCATATATTATATGTAAATATCATATTTATGTATTATATATTGATTATAAAGTGCAATATATATTATTTAAGTATTATATTATTATATATTCTTCTTCTTTTTTATCGGAACATGAACCGATTATATTATGAAGACATGAACCAAAAAACAGATAAATATCATAAGGGAAATTTTTGTTGGAAGATGCTATGAGTCATCTTTTTTATAAGACATTTGTTTAAAGTTATATTTAGAATAAGCACAAATACATATATATTTTTATATAATAATATGTCATCTTGAGAAGTAATTATAGTGTGCTTCATAGTATGGTCATATAATATTTATTATAATATAAGTGGATATTTATTGATATTATGTCTTAAAAGTTGAATATCTTATCATTGATTGATATTAAACACGTAAACGAGTTATACTATATAGTCGTATTTTAGTTCCTTATAGTAATTTATTCGCATTCAAGAAATAACAAAACAAAAAGAATAGTTTAGATGTCAAAAATTGTTTTTGGTTACAAGTAAAAAAACAATTTCAGTTTGGCCAATTGGATTTATATAAAGTTACCCAAGTTTTATTGATTTTGGTTACAAGTTATATAAATCAACCTCTAACTCATGAATCATGAAAATATTTGCAAATGTTGTGAAATAATTGAAATAATTGTAACAACATTATGGTCCACCCTAATCCATAACACTGTAATACCCTAATACAAAGAAAATGACACATAGTACCAAGGTAAGAATGGACTTTGGTGGAGTAAAATTATGTCATTATCCTTGTAAACAAAACTGAAAATCTTGTAATCTACGAGAAAACTTGTAAACTTTCTACTTTTATACTTGTTTTTCTTGACTTTTAATCCTAACCATGTACTATAAAATCCATGGCCATGTTAGGAAAAGAATTTAAATTTATAATACTTCGTGGATGTCTACGAAAGTACAACCATGTAACACAGCGTTCAACAATTAATATAGTTCTTATTTTATAAATTGATTTCAACCTATTACATAGACAAAACTCGAGGTGAAAAAAATTTGATAGATAAAGACTTTCAAGCTCTCAAATAAAAGTTGATGCGCATTCACCAATTCTATGAAACAAAAGAAACAAAAAATTAAAACTATCAACCTCAATTATTTTTAAAAACTAGGCATAAAATACGGAGGAATTAACCACAACTAGCTATCATAATTCATATAAATAAAACTAGCAACTCATAATGAACTTAAGTAAAGCTACAATGAGGTGGCATATTGAAATCAGAAGGAAAAAAAAAGTAGTCTAAAACGGTTATCATAAAAAAGAGAGTCTAAAACGGTAACTTTAGATTTATAAAAATAAAAAAATGCCATTGCGAAATTCATAAGTATGTCATCATGAGTCAAATAGAATAAACTCAATTGAAAAATAATATGTCAAATAATATGCCAATTGCCAAACAAAAAGAGCATAATTGCACGACCCTTATGCAATTGCATTATTTCTCTCTTAACCTTTACCTGCTGTAGCAGGTTATGTTTCAGTTTGTTTATAAATGAATTAGCATGTAAGACAAAAGGCGCATCAATGCGCCTGGTGCAGCCTAGCCGTTGCCCTTTTCCGCCCCCACCATGTGTTCTCTCTCATCATTTTCAACAAGTGTAAGAGCTACGAAGGTTTCCTCTATAAATTATGGAAAATAAAGCTGGAAACGTGACTAGACGTTAGAAGCTAGAGCAGTATATTGAGTAGTAGATGAAGGAAGTTAAGGTTTCACTTCAAAATCGATTAGTAATAAGGAGATTAGGTTTAGTTTCTTAACTTTTAATGTGGGATAAATACTCTCAACACGTCTTTGCACGTGTTGCGAACTTTCAAGCCTAACACGTGGATGACATATATTAAGTGATATGGGAGCACGTGTGGCCGTTGGGCCGAACACATGTAACCTTGGTCTAATACCATGAAGTTGAAGTTCCACCTCAAAACCAATTGGAAAAGGGAGGAGTAGCCCAACTCCTTACAAACCCAGACTTAGTCTCTTAATTTTTCAATGTGAGACAAATACTCTCAATATGAGAGAAGTTGGTTGGACTGTGCCTCCAAAATTGAACTTTTATTCCACTTGGGCTGTACAATATGACTATTTTGTTGGATATATATTAGGTAACTTCTCTACTTTAACAAACTAGCTAACTGAGAAATTAGCAAATAAGGTTTGAGTGGTTCAATTCAATCTTGGATTTTTTCCGTTGTTTGTAAGAAAATGTTTTTGAAAAATTTGACACCTTTCTTTGTTAGGTAAAGTTTTATGTATCTACTGTGTTTTTCTAAAATCTAATTGGATTTTAGGTAATTAGGTTGTTCAATAATCTTCTTCGTTTTTATCTCAAATTTCTATAATTCCAAAAGGAGAATATTCCTTTTCCAAGTCTATTTGAATAATTGCAGAGCTCTTGTTTCTATTTTGTTTATGGGTGGTGCCTAAAGGTAGCATGATCACATATCCCCTTTCTCTTAGGACAATATTCCAGCTTGCATAAGTTGGTTAGAGGCGGCCTATGGGGTGTGCGAGGTGTGTGACTGCACAAGGCCCTCAAAATTTAGGGACCTCCAAATTTTTCCAAGTCAACCCATTAAATTAACTAAAACATGAAAATAAAAATGAAATATTAAATATCACCCCACAACACCATATGCAAGGCACCAAAACTAAAATTGAATTGAATATTAATTATCAACGAATTCTACGACTTAGAGAGTAGAGGTCCTAATTTAATTCATTTTCCTCTTCCCAACTCTCACACTGCAGCTCTTCTTTTTATTTATTTATTATGGTTTGAAACCTGTGTTTTCCTCTTCCCAACTCTCAAGCTGTAAAACCATTCTAATATTCTTTTTTTCTTTTTTTTCAGTAAGTCTTTCTCACTCTCCTCCATCAAAATAAAGTCATTTCTCTTCAGTACCAGTGTACCACCCTCTTCCATCAAATTTTGGATTGTAAAAACCCAAGCTTTAACCCTTTCCCCAAAATCACAGTTCTTTCCCCCCCCCCCCGCCCCCCCCCCCCCCCCTACCAGTGTACCACCCTCTTTCCATCAAATTTTGGATTTTAAAAACCCAAGCTTTAACCCTTTCCCCAAAATCACAGTTCTTTCTCCCCTCTCCCCCCCCCCCCCCCCCCCCCCCCCCCCTTATTCACATGAGAATTCACCAAGCATTGAAATTGGAAAATCAATTTATCAGCTCTGTGATTCGGAAGGTTGACTAAAGATATATATATTTTTTCTGGCTCTTTCCGAATGTGTTCTTCTCGTGTTAGAAATTTTTGTTTCTATATGAATTTTTTTTTCCCCTACTTGTATATATCGGGCCTCGACATCCATATTTGCACAAGGCCTCCAAAATCAATGAACCGGCTCTGAAGTTGGTCTAAGGGCAAGAGCTATTAACTGGATTTTTGAAAACTCATAGAAAAAGAAATTATCCGAGGGGAAAAAAACCACAAAATATTTACAAACGTAGTGTCATATAAGATATATTAGAGTCAGCAAACGTTTCCCGTCCTAGCAAGCACTTCAGATTGATTAAAACTGATTGCCAACAAACATGTAGCCTCAATCATTGCCAAATTCTTGATGATGTGGAAGCACTACTACATTTTACACTTTGCGCGACGAAGAGAATTTCAATGCGCAAAATACATTGTAGTCGCACAAATTTCAGTGCGACAGAAACTTCATCGCGCAGAATCCGTCACGCAAAGATCGTGAAGAAAGACTTTGCGCGATGAAGTTTTTTCATTGGTCGCGCAAAAGGACTTTGTGCGACGAAAAAATATTGGTCGCGCAAAGTGACTTTGTGAGACGAAAAATATTGGTCGCACCAAGTTTTGCGCGACGAAAAACTTTGGTCGCGCAAATTCTTTAAAAAAATTTATAAAAAATTCCCGCGTCCCATTTTTGGTATCCGCCCAAATTTTTAGAGTTTTGCACGACAAAAAACTTTGGCAGCGCAAAGTCTTTAAAAAATAAAAAATAAATAAAAAATTCCCGCGTCCCATTTTTGATACCCGCCCAAATTTTTAGACTTTTGCGCGACGAATACTAATAATGTCGCGTAAATATTTGCGCGACGAAATATTTTGGTTTTTGACTTTTTGTTTTATTATTTCTTTAATATTAATTTTTTGGAATTTGTACTTTTTAAATTTAATTTAATTGTATGATTTTTTTTCGTTACTTTAATTTAAATTGATATTAATTTAATTATATTAATTTATTCAAATTTTTACTTTTTAAATTTAATTTAATTGTATGATTTTTTTAATTACTTTAATTTAAATTGACATATGAAAAATAGTGATCAAATTATCCAATAAATATATATATATAATATTCAAAATGTACACATAAATTAACAAAATACAATAATAAAATCCTAATACAAGCGTATTGTGGTGGTAGTGGCGGAGGATATGTTTTGATAGCTTCATAATCCTCAACTTTAGCCATCAAAGTCTCGATGATTCCCTACAAAAAAAAAAGGTCAAATAAAAAGGGATAATCTCCCCTAAAATTGTTATACCACAAATCCAACCCAAACTCCAATCCATCCCCTTTACTCAATCCCAAACCCCAC